CAAGGCCTTCCTCAAGTGCGCCATGGGCGACACGACGGCGGCCAAACAGGCCAAGGCGCGTCTGCGCCTCGCTGTGGCCGCCATTCGAGGCACGGCCCGCCTCTCCTACGCCTGGGGCGCCTGCGCCGCCCTCATCGTCGGCGGCAACTAAGCCGCACGATGAGGACGGCCAGGATGGCCAGGACGACGGCGACGGCGACCACCTACCACTGCACGCGCCACGACATATTGTTGTGTGCTGTACAGGCGGCTAGGTCGAGCCCCGCCGACTGTTCTGAGCCTCAGCCAGCTTGAGCCCCCGGCTTCCCAAGGCCTACTGGGGCGGCTTTCGCCCCGGTTTTTGCTGGCCTGTTTTTCTCTCCCCTTTTCCCCTTTCCTTTTGTACTTAGTTTTTCCTTCGGCCACGGCAGCTTGTTGCCTGGCATAGTGTTAATATGTTTAAAAAACGTGTAAATAAATAACTATTTAACCCTAAACCCTAAACCTCACCACAGCCAACACTGTGTCTGTCTGTATGACCTGCCATTCAACCACCATCAATCCATCCCATGCCTGGACATGCATTTCTCTATCACACCTGCACACCACCAGACATGATGTGATTGTCTGGCGCCTTGGATTGGCTTGCTGTACTGAGAAGGCTGTGTTTGAGCACATGCTCATTGCCCTGGCCTGCAAACCATCAGCCCCCCATCCTCCTCCTCCTCTCCTTCTTCCTCCTCCTCCCTGCCCCCTTTTGGCCCTGTGACCCCAGATGCCAATGTCACCCCAATCAGTGAGTGCCTATGATGCTGCCTGCAGATGCTGTTCAACTGCTGCATGCTTGTCACTGCTGCCATGGCCCACCTCAGTGATGAAAACAGTGACATGGATGATGATGATGACTATGACTGTGACCCCACTAGCAGCAGTGATGACAACAACAATGATGGTGCTACCTGCACCAACACCAGGTGCAACAATGTGTGCTCTGAACACTACACCACCACCATACCCTTCAACACCAACAACACACTTGACACCAGCCACAACAACACCCACAAGGACAGCTATGGCAACAACCACAATGGAGACAGCCACAACTACAACTACAACTGCAAAGACAACAACAACAATGACAACAGGTCCTCCCTCAACCGCCACCACCACCACCACCACCACTACAACAGCAGAAGCAACAGCAGCAGCAGCAGCAGTGGCAACAGGGGCAACAACCCCAACAACCAAGACTACAAGCTCAGCAATCAAAGCATGACACTCAGCTCTGAGGATAGCCCCAGAGCCAATCACCCACTCATGACTGCCAGTGCCCACCAAGACCACCACTGCCACCAAGAGGTGGCTGATTAAGGTGGCAACCTGAATAAGACATGAAGGGTTTAGGGTTAGGTAGGTAGGGTTAGGGTTAATTTGTTTTTATTTACATTTTTAGACAAACACAATGCCAGGCATAACTGCTGCCTTGGCCAGAGGAGACAAAGAAAACACTAAGTACAAAGGAAGGAGAGGAAAAGGGAAAGAAAAAGGGGGGGTAGGAAAAGGGACGGAAAAGCTGGCTCTCAGGTTGCCACCTTAATCAGCCACTTCAGTCATATGTTCTCTTTGCTGTTTGAAAGGCTTCAAATCAGTTTGGCAGCCACTGCTCATGTCAAGCCCAACTTGGACAATCAACAACTCCAGGATATGGAGAACTTGTACTCACAGCACATACACTCCCCCTTCCTTTCCCTTCTTCCTTCCTCTTTCTCCTCTGAAGAAGAGGAGCTTCTTGTTGGACTGTGTCTCTCTATCTCTCATACTGTGTGTGTGGGCCTCTATTCTAGCCCAGATCCTGGGTCCTGTGGGCCTCCAAATAGTCAAGTGCCTGCTTGCCCTGCTGGGCACTCACCCAGGCAATCCCCACCAGGCTGGCTCAGTATGCTGACCCCAACTTTCTGGAGATGATGACACTGCTGTGGAACCTCATTCTTGGCCAGCTGTTATTCTGAAGATGAGGCTCAACAAGGAAGAAGATCCCATTCTTCCTGCATGAGCCATGCATGGACCTTGTTCACTGGCCTTAGAGAAGCACCTGGAACACTATCATCAAAAGAAGGCACATTTGGCATTGTACATGTGTGTTGTATCAAAAAGGTCCAAAGTAGCATATGAAAAAGACCCATGTCAGCATGATGTGTGTAATGACACCAGCAAGGGTTTGGACATTATTGTTTTGAACCATGAAACCAGAGCTGGAGGAACACCTTTTATTAAAAAAAAAGAGTATGCCACAGGACAAGTGACTTGAGCCCCACCTCAGATGTCAGCGTGGCCAGCGGGAGTTGGTGGGATGGAGGCTGCTGCAAGGGCTTTGCGGATGCCCTGGGCATAGTCAGCGTGGACCTTGCCAAAGGCCATGATGGTCTTTTCCTGAATGTCGGGGTTGGCGAGCTTGAGGAACTCGGCGATATTGTTGAACAGGTGCATCCTCTCGGCGTCGCTCATGATCTTGGTGAAGAGCTCACGTGCCTTGATTGTTAATGTTATGCAAAACGAGTGAGTTACCGATCGCGAGGAAACACACGAGCACTGCAGTTCTCAAGTTGCGTACCTGGTCATACTCTGAGTCGGTGCCGGCATGACGCGAGCTGCTAGCGCGGTCAATGACACCAGTCACTGGCACTGGCTTCCAGTTGTACTTGGCATCTCCCATTGGGCCTACCGAGTTGATCATGCAAGCGGTTTGAGAAAAAAGAAAGTTGGAAAGGACGGAAGCATTAGGGTTGGTTGGTGTACCATTTCGGCTGTTGGGGTAGATGGTAGGCTCGCCTTCGCCGTTGTAGTCCGTGCGCATAAGTCCATCGCGGCTCTGCGGGTGGTTGACCTTGGCCGCGAACGGGCAGTTCACAGGGATCTGTTGGGGGTTCACAAAACGAGCTGCAGTTACATAACGCACCAACAAACCAAGCCAGCCTTATGTGTGGTGCGATTGATCGGGCAAGTGATGGTGTGGCTAAACAACTCTACCTGGTGGAGATTCACACCCAAGCGGTAGTACTGCGTGTCCCGGTAGAAGAAGCACCTGAACTGAAGCAGCGGATCAGGCGACGGCTCGATGCCCGGAACAAGCGAACCTGAGAGTTGAACCAGATCAGACCCAAGGGGTCTCGTTGAGCTCAATCAGCGAATGAAAGCAAAAGGGTTGGTGGCCGACAGTACCAGGCGAAAAGGCTGCCTGCTCGACATCGCGGTGGTAGTTGTCGACGTTGCGGTTGAGAACAAGGCGGCCGTACTCGTAGAGAGGGAAGTCGTCATGGGACCACACCTTGGTCACATCAAAGGGGTCGTAGGGGCAGGTGCTGCAGGGAACCGGGGGATGGGGCGAGGTTAGGCCATCACACACATATGTTCCTAGACAACGGCAACAGAAACCTTAGGTGGAGGGGCGACGCGAAAGTACCTAGCTTGTTCGGGAGTCATGATCTGGATATAGGCCTTCCACACGACCTCGCCGCCCTTGTTGATGTGTTGCCACAGATCGCGCTTGGCAAAGTCCGGATCGAGACCGCACATGGCCGTCGCCTCGGCGTTGGTGAAGTTGCGCACGCCTGCCTCCGGGAGGAAGTGATACTTGATGTAGTGCTCCTCGCCTGGTGTACACCGGGAAGTGTACATCCCCATGTAAAAGGGTTAGGGGTATTGCGCCCAAAAAGGAGAGGCCTTTCAGGAGAGTGTTGTGGTAGATGTGCACACTTACCGTCGGCGTTGACCCACTTGAAGGTGTGGCAACCGTAGCCCTCCATGTGGCGGAAGCCGTAGGGAGTGCCGCGGTTGGAGAAGAACATGGTGGCGCAGTGAAGAGACTCGGGGACATTGATGAGGAAGTCGAAGAGAGCGTCGAAGTTGAGCAGGAAGTTCTCGGCATCGCGGGTCTGCGAGCGGATAACGTCGGGTCCCAGGGCCGGATCGCGCGCGAAGAAGATCGGGAAGTTCAAACCTAGATAGACGGGGGTGACAGCCGCACCTCAGCCCACGCTTCAAGAATCAAACAATAACAATAATAATAAGAATGATAAGGTAGCGAAGCGACGGAGGACATACCCACGAGATCGTAGTTGCCCTCCTCGGTGTAGAACTTGACGGCGAAGCCCCGAGGGTTACGGGCCGAGTCGGGAAACTCCCTGCCGTAGGTGACAGTGCTGAAGCGTGCGAACACCGGCGTCTGCTTGCCCACCGATTCCAAGAACTTGGCCTTGGTGTAGCGGCTCACGTCCTTGGTGACCTCGAAGTAACCGAAAGCGCCCATGCCACACGCGTGTACCATGCGCTCGCAGATCTATATTGCGTCAATACACGCAAGAACACACCACACACACGCACCGTTAGACCTGCCTCTGTCTTTCAAGTGAGTGGTGTGTGTGTGTCAGCGCGCACCTTGGACCTGTTGAAGGTCTGCTGCTTCTCCATGAGGTGGACATCGGAGGCCAGCACGTAGCCGCCGATGTTCAGAGATGTGCGCATGTCTGGCAGCGGCTGACCGACACTGGTCGTCATCAGGTTGGGACCCAGCGGACCCATGACGGGACACTTGGGCACTCGCGTGGCACCAGGGCCGTCGGCGGTGATCCCGCTGGCCATCTTCTCGAGAGCGGTGGGCTCTTCGCCCTTGATGATATCCTTGGCGGTCTCCATCGCGCCCTTGACTTTTTCAGCTAGGTGAGCCATCGCCTATAGCGGGAGTGCGTACGAGGGTGAGCCTCTTCTGGGTTGTGTGGCGGGTATGCGCTGCTGCGATGTTGTAGACGGCTGAGGGTTGGAGCCGATTGATGATGTGGTAATGGCTCAGACGCGCGAGCCATTTATAATTAGGTGTCGCGGTGGCGCGTCTTCCTGCTCGTGAGCGGCAGAGAAGGCACCAACTCTGGGCAGAACGCTCGTGGAACGCCCGCGGGCATGGAAGGGATGACGTGGCGGACACCCTGTGCCGACCCGACGAGCACCTATCACATGAGGAATGCCAAAAATCTTCGGGTTGGACAGCCGTACCTGTTCCACAAATCCGCGTAACTCCCAGCTGTGCAACTGGCCACCAGTTTCACACGAAACAGCCACCATTGTGAGGTAGAGCTGTTTCGATAGAGCGCCGGGAGCCACCGTGCAACGAGCGAACAACGCGGGCTCAAGTTGTGGACGCGTTGGAGAGAAAGAGCTAAGAGCTGAGCACCATAATGTCACTGAAGTCAAGATGGAGACGGCTCTCCTACCTGCGGCACCCGCCCTGGTCTCAGTGGCCCGTAAAACTGCGTCCCTCGCTCGCAATTTAGATACAAGATCCAGAGAAAAGACTCCAATCCAGCATGTGGTGTCGATCGCAGAGAGTCGCGCGTGTCTCGCGTGTAGTCACCCCTACTGCGACTCAGGCAGCCGTGCCTTCATCCTGCGCCAGAGGTCAGCGATCGCTGCTTTCGTCAGCATTCGGTGGAGAAGGAGGAGGGGCGGAGGAGAAGGGACATGCCGCGCTCGTGAGGAAGGAGTTCGCCAAGCAGGCCCAGCGTAATTACGACAACCAGGCAATTTGCGCCTCCCCCCGCAATTTTGAAGATGAACAAGATTAGGGGCTCTGTATGTACTTCATGTATTGACGGCACATCAGGCAGCGAGCAGTGACGCCATGCTTTCGTGGATCAGCGGGCACTTGGCCGGTGACTTGCAGCCTTCTCTTCGCGTCCTTGACGTCGCTGCTGGCACAGGCCGAATGAGGTGCGCGCCAATCCACCGCGACCAAGGCGTTGCCCCCCCCCCAAACCAAAAATCCTCCTTCTCCTCCTCGCTCTCTTTCGCTAACCTGGCCTGGCCAGCCGCCTTGTCGCGCCGAAGGTCAAAGAGGTCATTGCTGTGGACCTCACTGAGGTGCGTGCACTGCATCAGCTGCTGCGGAGTGTGGTGGCATTTCCACTTGACAAACAGTGGCCACACGCAGGAAATGATGGCGGTAGGAAAGGAGCAGGCACAGACGGCCGGACTCAACAACATCCACTGGGTCGTGTCCAAGGCGCAACAGGTGAGATCAAAACACCACAGCCTGTGTACCTGTGCCTGGTGCTGCACCTGATCTGTGGCTGACGCCTTCATTCTCTTCCCTTCCTGCCAATGTAGATGCCATTCATGGATAATGCCTTCGACGTGGTGGTCTCGAGGCTAGCAGGTATGGCACACCGGTGACCATCGACTTTCCACAAAGCCCAACACTCACCTCTCCTTCTCGTTGTTTACAGTGCACCACTGGGACGAGCCGCAGTCCATTGTGAGCGAAATGGCGCGTGTGTGCAAACGTACGGGGGCGCCCTTCCTTGTCTGCATGCACTGCGCGCAGGTCCAGCAACTCAACTCCTGCACCTTCTGCAGCCGGCGGGAAGGTAGTTCTGATCGACATCGTCACACCCGAAGATCTTACCGACGCTCAAGGTGCCCAGCTTCCCCCTTGCCCTCCAATCTGCCCCTGGCTAGTGCTTAGTGGCGTAATGGGATACGCAGGCGACCGGCTTAATCACCTGGAGAGACTGAGGGATCCCTCGCATGTGTGCTTCTGGCGCCTCTCGGAGCTCTTCGGCTTCCTCAAGAAGGCGCGTCCGGCTCTGTCGGTCCTCCCGCTCGTCGATCGGAGGGACAACCAGGTGTTCCTCGACCAGTGGCTCGAGCTGACCAACACGCCCAGCGCCAGCCGCAAGGCGATCACCGACGCGCTCCAAGCCGAACTCGATGGAGGAGGGCAGCAGAAGGATACCAACAGCCTCGTCACCGGGTTCCGCCCCGACCGCAGCGCCGACGGCAGCCTCCACTTCGTCCACTCCTACGTCCTCTTGTCCGCCCAGAAACAGTGAACACCTCACGTAAATCATTTTGTCTAACACCCTTTCCATAAAAGGCAAGTATAAACAAAAAAGAGTAAACGAAAAGAACAAAACGAAGCTTACAGAAGAGAGTTGGTGCGGGCAGTAGCAGCGACTAACCCAAGATGCCGCGAGCGTTTCCCTACCTCGCGACGAAGGTGTGTAACATACTGGCGCCGTTTGCTATGGAGTTCGTTGGGACGTCTTCCTGGTGGCGGCGGTCGGCTTCAACTCGGTCAGTGCTCATCCTCTCGCCCCTTTGGGCATCGGCCTGACTCTGGTCGTGTGCGTATTTGCCGGGGGGCACATATCTGGTACATCATCCCTCCCCCCTAGCACTCAGCAGCTTTGCTCGCCTTTGCACTCTCCTTTCACTCACATATCTTCTCTCATGGCTGGTGAAAAAGGAGCGCACTACAACCCTGGTACCTCTTCCTCTTTGTCAGTGCTACCAGTGCTGCTCCCCAAAATTAAGAAATAACCGCACTGGCAGCGGTCACGCTTGCCGTGTGGGTGAGCCGCAGGAACAAGATCGGTGGGCTGGACGCCATCATTTATGTGGTTGTTCAAGTCGCTGCGGCCTTCCTGGCCGCCCTCTTCTGTTGGGGCGTAACCGACAAAACAGTCGCCGTGCAACCAGGTGTGTGCCTGCCCTTCCTTCTCCCGCTTCTCCATCCGCACTTACTGTCCACAGCCCTTGGAGTGTCGGACGCCAAAGCTTTTGGAGTAGAGGCGATGTGGACTTTCCTGCTGGCCACTGTTGTCCTCCAAACCGCGACGACTGAGACCCAAGCAGGCAACAGCTTCTTTGGGCTCTCAATCGGCAGCACCGTCATCGCCGGCGCAATCACTGTGGGCCGTACGCAACCCTTTCCTTGTTTCAGCTCCACTCACACTGATGGACTTCTGTGTTGTTCCACTCCAGCTACCTCGGGCGGCGTGTTCAATCCAGCCGTAGGAACAGGGATGCTGTTGGTTCGCAGCCCTGGTCTCCCTCGTTCTCTCTTTTTGTTCTTCTTGAAATTTCCTAACACATAACTGCACACCCAGGCGCACGCATGTGATACCCACGATACGGAGAAGCTTCACTTCCTGTGGATCTACTGGCTGGCGCCGCTTCTCGGCGGCTTGGTCGCGGGAATCATGTTCTGGTTCACCAACAGGTGCGGCACCTTCCCTCCTGGCCAGCTTGGCCGGCGCCTACAAAACTGTTCCGTGGTTGACCGAGGCGCGCGACAGGCGTGAGTTCCACGATGAGCCGAGGCTGGAGGGAGACTCCTCAGAGCACCTCTTCTCCATGGACGTCAAGTCGATCGCCGACGTCTCGGCACAGAAACGCGAGGGCGGCAAGCTCATCAAGGACATTATGAAGCGGGAGCGGGAGCGGTTCGAACACCTCCTTCCCAACGAATCGACCTCTATGATCAACGTGTCCGAATAGGCTTGAGGCCACGCGGGCTAGTATGATGCCTCGGCAAGGAGCCAGTCATGTGTAACAACAACAACAACAAAGCTATGTAGAAAAAAGAGATGAAGTGTAGGTTGTATGTACATTTAAGGGGACAACCCTGCAGGGTGTGCACTCATCAGTCGAAGATGTGCAGTTTGCTGGTGATGCGTTCTCGGCACAGCGGGCACAGATCGAGCTTGTCGCTGCACAGCTGAGCATGCACCATACACACGGGAAGTTCAGTTGCTTCCCCTTATGGGCGAAGAAACGGAGAGAGAAGTATACTTTGCAACAAGCCCGATGGCCACAGGGGATGAATGCCATCTCCTTCTCGCGCTCCATGCACACCTGCAAAGGGGGGGGATACTGAGGTACGAGCCTCTGACGTCATCATAGATCATTCATGGAGGGGAGCGCTGTACAGAGCACTTGTTCTTCTCCTCGATCTCTTTCTTTAGCGAGAGCGTGGCAATTCGTTTCATGACCACAGCACGCGACCTGCATTCCCACTCCCGCCGTTGAGTAAACCTCGAGGTTTTGGTTGCTCTGCTGGGAGAAAAAAGCAAGGTACGCGCCTCTCCAGGGCCGCTTCGAGAGACAGAAGCTCCTCCAGCGTCAGGTCCTCTCGCCCTCCTTCCAGGAGCGTCCTGCCCACGCGACAGCATTTAGCGTGGGCCACCCGCGAGCAGCATCACCAACCAAAGGCCTATCAGAGAGGGCTTGTGCAAGCGTACTGGTTATCACGCTTCATGTCTCGACAGCGCGCTTCGAGTTCCGCCACCCGCTTGGCCAGGTGTTGGTTGGCCTTGTCCACTTCTTCGGCCTCTCTTGTCTTCTCCTGGACGACCAGCTGCCACTCTTTGTGGTCCCGCGAATGCCGCTTCATCTCTCTGTCGCGTTCATAGACCGCCTCCTCCGCTTGCCGGGTGAGTTCGTCCATGCGTCGTTTCGCCTCGTCATTTTCCTGGGCCATGACCTCTGCACCAACGTCAGACACTATGTAGGCTGCTGCACCTGTTTCTGGGCGGGAGACGAACCGAAGGAGCGGCACCAGTCGCTGGCTCTGTCAATGAACTGACGGAATTCCTTGACACTGGGACGATGATGATCCTGCTGCACCTTGGCCGAGATGGGCGTCGTTGAGAGAATCTTGCCATACCGGTAGTTCTGCACATATCGGTTGCCCTCTTCGTCTGTGTACACAATGTCTGCACGGTACCCAGCCATTACGATCACCGATCAGCACATGAAACTCGACGGCACCACACACTCAATTTAAAGGAGGCACGTGCCTCCATGCGGAAGGTCGTTCTCCCACGAGCCGTCTTCGCTTCTCCCGTCGGGGTGCACAAGTTTGCCTCGCCCAGACTGTTTTCCGTCCTTCCACTCTCCCTCGTACCTGCACGTATGGTACACCGTGAGTGTGCGAGTGGTGGAGTGTTGTTCGCTTGAGAGAGAGAGAGAGAGAGAGAGAGCGAGCGAGCGAGAGGTGGTACGCACCGGTCACCCTTGGCCCACCTCTTTACCCCTCTGCCGTTGGGCTTGTCGTCCTTCCACTCCCCCTCGTACCGGTCGCCATTGGCCCACATGAACACGCCTTTGCCGTTCTTCTTGTCTTCCTTCCATTCGCCCTGTGCAAACCAAACAACTCTGTCAACCCACACACCACACACCACACACCCGCATGACAGGCACCTCATAACGGCGACCGTCGGGCCAGCTGTACACGCCCCATCCGTGGTAGTCGCCGTTGCGCCACTTGCCCTCGTACTTGCGGCCATCCAGCCAGTAGTAGGTACCCGAGCCGTTCCTCTTGTCGTCCTTCCACTCCCCTACCACACGAGAGCGAGTGAGCATGGATGTGGTTGTGACCCTTGCACGGGTCTTGAGCAGTGCACCATGGTAGCGGGCGCCAGAGGCCCATGTGAAGGTGCCCATGCCGTTCCGCTTCCCATCGCGCCACTCGCCTTCATAACGGTCTCCATCTGCAGGTTCGAACCAAGGTGCAATAATATCAATCAGCTCCTTGGAGTTAACTCCTCGAGCTTGATGCGTCGAAGGAAGCTGCAATCGCAAGAAGAAGAGGATATAAAGTACCGGGCCAAATCTTGGTGCCGCTTCCATGGTACTTGCCATCTTTAATCTCGCCCTGGTAATGCACAGACGAAGATGGAGCCGAAGCAATACCACCAGACGACAGGGAGAGCAAAGGGCCTCCCCCGGTGGCCCCACTGCACAACCCCAGAGAAGGCAGGCCCCCAGCCGACGATGGTCCTGGCTTGTGCATCAGATCGATTCGCAGCGACCAGTCGTGCCCTAATCTGCACGCGACTTTCCTCTGCTCTGTTTCGGCGGTTCTTTTGGAAGAGGAAAAGGAACTTTTCTATTTCTTTTCTCTTCATTTACCCGGCAGCTGCTCGAATCGGCAGAAGCAGGCCATGAGCGGGCAACCGAGCTTCTCGGCCACATGGGCGTCCTTGACCATGGCCAGCTTCATAACGTCGCATTTGAAGCGCGCACTGTGGTTGGACTGCAGTGCACGACCCATGCCCTCGAGGATGACCAGGTCGGCGCTGTCGGCTTCCTCTGCGAGCTCGACGCTGACCTGGCCGAGATCAATCAGCGGGCATCCGTTGCCGCTGGCGACCAGCTTCAGCCGACCATCGCGAACCGCATCAGCGAGTATGGTGTCCACCAGTGCTACCTGATCCATCACCTGAACCTACCGCCACGCCAAAAGTAAGACAAACTAACTGCTACCTCTCGCGTTGAGTGTGCACGTACCAGTTCTGGGTGGGTGATATCGTTGAGAGCTGGGGTGGAGTTGGCGCTGAGCACGACATTGGTTCCGCGCCGCAGCAGTTCGCGTACAAGGGGCACCATGCCCAACACAACGTCCGTTCCAGCGTTGTCTGATGTCGATGCTAGCTCGTCACGCGACGCGCAGTTGTACAGGGGGAGAGATGGGCTAAGCATGAGTACCCACGAAGAGGATGCCCTTTCTGTAGGGGGCGAGTGTGTTGTCGGCAAATCGCTGTTTGATGGCAGTGAAATCGTCCACAAACCAGGGCCGCGGTGGTAGTTTGTCACGACACCGCAGGAAGTCTGCGGCACCTCCGCCGTCTCCCTGGTTCAGAGAGCGGTCAGCTGGCGGGACATCAACAACGCTTTAGTGTTGTGAGCACAATATGGCACATACCTGTTCAAAGAGCTTCAGTGTGTCGAATGAACCCTGCAATTATTGGGAGATGAGCGTCAGCTGTGTTGAGAGAATAGGGTGTGTGAAGAATGATGGTACGAGATCAAAGATGTTGCCCGCAAATACGCCCTCAAACAGAGTCTGCAACCTGTCCTCATCGTTCATGGCGTCCAACTCCTATTTGCACAATGTCGCGCAGAGACATACATGATATCAGTTCCAAAGCTAGCGCACGAAACTTCACACGTATCGTACCCTCAAGAGAGCAGGAAGAAGGCACAGAGCGGCCTTGTTCTCGTTGTGTTTGACGTGGGCGTAGGCATCGCTGAAGCCGACCTCGCGCAGCAGTCGCTCCCGTTCCAGACATAACTCCCACACCGAGACGGGCCTCTACCACCCAAACACACGCCATATATTTGCTATGTATTTTCTAAATATAAATAACAGAAATAAATAAACGAACCTGGAGGCCGGCAGACCACCGCTCCCACTCAAGCACGAAACGAGCGGCTGCTTGCTGGGCGGCCCCCTCCGGCAGCGCAGCAGCCCCGCTGGCACGGAGGAAGTGATTGGCCTCGAGGGCGTAGCGCGTGACGGAGGTCGATGCAAGCAGGAAGTGTTCCACCCAGTACCGAAGGTCTTCCGTATTGGTGCAGCATTTCGTCAGGTTCTCCACCTCGTACTGGTAGGCCTCGCCCTCCGGCAGGAGCAGTGGGAACCTGGTCACCCTTCGCTCCATTCTTTCTCCTCCGTAAAAAGAAAACAAAGGAAAAAGAAATGAGAAAAAAAGTGTTTTTTGTGGTGCTAAAAGGAAGAGAGAAGAGGGGACGACATCTAGAAGAAGAGCGAAAGCCAGAAAGGAACGGCGGTCGAGGCGGGGCTGGGTTCGTCCTCGGCGGGCTGGATGTTCCTCACGGAGAGCGTCTCCCCGCCGACGATGTCACCCAGAGCGAAGAAGTAGTTGACCTTGCCGCCCTGGAGCTCGGTATTGCCAATGGCCAGCGCCACCTGCGACGGGTCGCTGGCAAGCCTGAGCGAGAGATTGTACGTGGTAGCCGAGACCTCCGCCAGCTGTAGTTGCATGGGGAGGATGTCACACACCACGCACTTCAAACCTCCAGAGAAGAAATGGATATTGGGGGGGGGGAGCGCACCTCGACACCGGAGGGGTAGGCAAGGTTGTTGGCCAGGCTGGAGTCGCCGGAGTAGAGGTCGACGTTGGGGGCACCGGGGGCGGTGTGGAAGACGGCCACCTTGGCCATGGTGTTGGAGAAGACCGAGGGATTGATTTGCACGGCCAGCAGGCGGAACGGGTAGGTGGTTGAGTCGTTGAGGGAGCCCACAGCCACAGCGGTGTAGTAGGCGCCGTCGGTGAGCGCGACGGTCTCGTTGATGATGGTGGTGCCTCCGTTGACCAGCGAAACGGTGATCTCAGTGGAGCCTGCGGAGACGGGTATGTAGCCGGCAGAGGTGCCGTAGACAAAGTTGGAGATGGCGCGGCCGCCGTTGACGTTGACATGCACGTTGGTGTTGCCGCCGAAGTTGGAGACGCCGTGGACGACGAACAGGTAGGCCGACGCGTTGATCTGGCTGACGAACAGCGAGAGGAGCACCAGAGCGGCGAAGAGCTTCATCATTGAGGTATGGTAAGGGTGGGAGACAGGCAGCAGAAGGGCAGTTGTTGGTGTAGGTGGTTGGTGAATGATTAGCCCAACTGTCGGCCAGCCCTATTTGTACCCGTGGCAAAGTGCTGTGTGAGTGATCGATGATGCACAGCGCACGAGCGGATTGCCCATCATCCGTTCGTCTGTGCCCGAGGGTTGATGCACCTCAGTGCTAGCCGATTGGTCGGTCATGTAAAGGGATTATGAGGCATTATCCTCCAATCGCGTGGCGTAAGAACTTCGGGATGTCCGTAATAATTTTGATTGACCGAAAACTTCTCGGGAACAAACGGTGGTGATCAACACCAATCTGCCTCCGATCTGGCCACTCTGGCTTTGGCTTTGGTGGAGCCATTTTCAGGGCATACACCATGCTACTTTATTCTAAAAACTACGCCTGGCTCAGGCGTACTGGATGAACACCGGCTCCGTGTCGCCGTACGTGCGTGTGTGAGCGCCCTTGCTGTGGGGCCGAGAACCGATCGGGTGAAAACGGAGTGAGGTTATGTTGCGGGGACGGGCAGGGGGGGGGGAATTGTACCTGTCGGACCACACGACGAGGAGCTGCTTCTTGTACTTGAACGAGGAGAAGAAGGAGGGCAGCGCGGACTTGGCAGTGGGGTCCACGAAGCCGGGCAGTTTCGACTTGGGGGTTCCGCCCGGGATGATCAGCTCACCGCCCTTTTGCCGGAGCTCAGATATCAGCCAAGTTCAAGCGAGCAGCCGCGTTGTGGGCTGGAGTCGAGTACCTGAGCGTCGCACATGTCCTGAAGCTGCTGGGTCACCTCCAGGGCGTACTTTGGCTCATTGAGGTCGCCGTAGGTGGCGCTCAAGATATGCAAGGCTGCGCGCAGCGACACGCAGAAGCAAGTGTAGGTTAGCGGTTGGCGTGCACAAAATCACCGGACGCCGTCAACGCGACATGGGCGTACTCTTTTCCTTGGCCTTGGAGCGCTCCAATTTGTCGTTGCACATGTCCTGCAGCTGTCGCGCTTCGATGACGTTCTTGAATTCGCCGTACCACATCTTCGCCTGCATGAGCGAGGAAGCAAACAAAACTGTTGGCCACTGCACAGGGAGTAGAAAAGAAAAAGGGTGACGGTGTGTAAACCTCAGCCTCCGAGGCACAGTTGAATTCCCAGTCGCCCTCTGGCCGCTTCAGAGCAAAGCTCAGGCCTTGTAGCGCTCCCAGTCCCAGCCCTGACAGTCTGTTGGTGTGGGGGGTCAATTAGAAAAGCTTGGACTGGCTGGTTCTAGTCCTGGACTGACAGGGGAAAGAGTTGACATACCCGGCGTACTCCTCGAAGACGTACTTCTCGTTGGCCTTCACCACCTTCGCTCGGACAACAAGGTCGTTGAACAAGAACACCTGGCGAGGCCACCCCGGGTATGTGAGAATTGGTGTCATGAACGGCAGATGAGCTGAGTGCCTCGGCCTAAGTAAGGTCATCATAAGTACCATTGACTTGCGCTTTTTGGGCAACTTCACCGAGGCCCCGGCCAGCTCGCCGTGCTTGATGAACATTCGGGAGGGCGTCACCATCACCTACATGTCCCGGACAATCGAGAGGGAGGAAATGGTCTCGAGCCCGTCAGTCTGTGCAAACCCAAGGTAGGCGGAGAGCGATCGCAGTGTGTACCAGAGGCATCTCGGTGATCTGTTCCTGCAGCTTGATGATGAAGTTGCGGTTGTCGGTCTGTCGTTTCCTCTCGTTGACGTACTCGTTCAGTTCCTGTGAGACCAAATGGAAGTAGAAGGTCAGACTCCCCGAGAGACATCACGCACGCAGGACGCAGGCCACGCACCCTGATGCGTTCGATGGCCTCCACCAGGTTCTCGTAGTCGACGTGAGTCGAGGGCGTGTGCTTGAGGAGCTCCTTCAACAACATCTGTTCAGAGCATACGAGAAGATCAGTGGTCGCGAATCCACGGTGACCAAGAGGAACAGGAGGGAGCCACATACCTCGTATCGGGGCAATCGCTGTACAGGCTGGATGAGCATGGAAACGAGATCGAGCCTCCCGCCAGAGTTTTTCCTTAGTTGCTGTTATACCCCCCGACAGAAGCAGAAGGGGAGATGAGCGATCGCGGTCCGGACACTCACACTCGACCAGACACTCATAAGAGCCCTTCGTGTACCGCGATATAATCGGCAAACTCTTGCTTGGCGCTGTACTTGGTCCATACGGCGGTGGCGCCGTCGTATTCGTTGATGTAGGTCGTGTACATCTTCATCATGGGCACCTAAAAGACAACGACGGGGAGTGGTGTAAGAAGAGAGAGAGAGCATGGTGCCGTCGGTAAACCTTCGGTCAATGGACTGTGGCGGCGTACCATCTGCAGGAAGATGTCACCGAAGGTGTTCACGTTGGGCCACTCGGCCATGCGCTTGTCCAGCTGTTGGCTGAATTCGGCGTTGAACTGGTGGATGACCTCGATGGTGCTGAACAGGCGATGTACGTCCTCGAGGGTCATGATCCACCGGTTGTCCTTGGCCTTTTCCTTGAGCGGCACCAGGAAGAACTTGATGCACTGATAAAGACTCTGCACGTAGGTCTGTTCGGTGGCCACCACCTCGCGCAGTACCCGAGCTCGCTGCTTCTGTTCCTGCGAGCACTTGCTGTCCTTGTACTCAATCACTGTATTCCCCCAGAGGTCAAGCACGCCAATGTGGCTTGTAAGCTCAGAGAGCATACTTCAAGAGTACGAGGTGAGAAAAGTATTTGCTTACCGAGCGAGCGCAGTCGCTTCTTGAGGTGCGTCTTTCTGTACAGAGCTTGCACTTCGGAGACTTCTTGGGGTCGTAATCCTGGAACACACACACACACACACACACACGGATCATTAAAACCTGAGCTGTTTTGCCCGTACGCAATACACCTCACAGTCAATTTGGAGAGGCCGTGGGCGTACATTGAGATTGAAACCGGGGCTGAGAGTGCCTCGAGCTACGGGTCCCTTATCCGCTGCGGCTCCTTGCGTCGAGACCGGCCTGTGAGGCTCGGGTGCTGGCTCGGGCTGAGAGATAAAAATAAAAAAACAAATAAAAATAAAAATGCATCATTAGCCGCCGGGTGACAAGGACGAAGGTGAAGATGCCTCGAAGTACCTCTACTTCTTCGACGGCAGTGCTGGCATTCAAGAACTCGGCAGCCTGAAGAATATTCTTTACCGAGAGGGTGACTGCGGTGTAGTACTGCTGCATCGTACGCTTTACCTTCTCCTCGCTGGTACCACCCATCTGTAGAGCGAGAGGTGTAGAGAGCGAGGTGTAGAGAGCAAGGGCGAGCACGGGGCGATCAGAAATGAGCAGTGAATTTGCTGAGCAATTATTTGCGGGTGGGTCGTGTACGTTGGCGAGAGTGGCGGTGGCAGCGTTGAGCATGGCGTTCGCGGATGATTGCATACTCGTGGCGCCACCCTGGAGGAACTTGGCCTGCGCACGTAACGGTCAGTATAATGTCACGGGAAAAAAGGCGCCAGGCCGACAGCGAAGCGAAGGAAGAATGCGGTACCTGGGTGGGATTTTGCACGATGTTTTGCTGCACACCGTACTTGATCATCGCAACCAGCCGAGCAACCATCTTGCGCACGCTTTCTGTACACAGAGACCGTACATGAAAGCAGTTTTTGAGTTCATACGCGGCCAAAGAATGAATCAGTCTATTGGGGAGGGGGGGGGGGCGAGAGAGACATCGTACCGACGGTGAACATGAGGGTCTGCTTGATGGCACCACCGCTGGTCCCCTGAACCTCCATGAACTCCTGCGAGAGGGTGTCCACGAGCTTTCCAGTATCGAGAAGCAGCTGCTTGGCCGTGCTGACCAACTCGCCAACGAATTCAGGCTGCAGAGAGACCATGCAGTGTTAGCTGAATGCAATCAGCAGCCAGCGCGTTGTTGATATTTGCTGCTCATGAGCGACAATCGTACCTTGTCCTTGAACTCAAAGGTGAAGGTGTAGGCGGGTTCTTCGGTCTTCTTCCGCCGCATGGGCATCTCCATGGTCTGCGTTCTGTTCAGCGCGGGCGTTGGCTGGGTTCGGCCCTCGCCTTCCGCTTTGGTATCCTCGGCCTGCGCGGACTTTTGCGGCCTCGCACCAAGAGTGACCCGACCTTGCAGCCCCCCTCCCTTAACGGCCAAAGGGTCGTTAAAAGAGACCGTCAGCGAATCGTACGTTATATCATTGTGCGATGGGAGATATGCATTGGCGGTACGTACATGCGGCCTGACTTGAACGGAGGAAGAGGAAAGAGCCCCAGGTGATGGCGAAACAACCTTGGCCGGCTCCTTTTGATGAGATCGTAAACGGGTCAGACACACGATTTACAGAGCTGTGAGGTTGCTGTGAAAGGCAGTGCTGTGGGTGTCTATACCTGTGGCTGGACCTGCTGGTTTCCGGGTGGTGGCGACACGGTAACCTTGGCCGGCTCCTGATGGACGTCAGGCACGTTTAGCATTTTGACGGAGAGCGCAGCACAGGTGAGGAAAGGAAGGTGGATCCGCGCGTACAGCTGCGGCTTGCGAGAGCTTCCACCGCTGCATCTGGTCCTCCATCTGAGATGAAAAGAAGAAAGATAGGTGAGTGGGTTGGTCCATCTGCTGCTTGGCCCTCTTCCTGACGTGTGGTACTTACTTCAGCCTGCTTGGCGGCGAGCTGCTGCTGAGCGATCTGCTGTTGGGACGGTTGGTTGCCCTGCACTTGAACCGGCTGCTGCTGGTATGCCGGCGGCGGCTGAGGTGACGAGCACGAGCACGAGCACGAACATTAGCACTCGCTCTCAATCTGGCCACGACCTACGATTGGCTTAGTAGCGTACCACTTGGACCTGGGGCTGGGGCTGTGGCTGTGGCTGGGGTGTGATGACTTGAATGGCTGGCGCGCCATAGATCTGTGGGCTCGGCGCCACGGGCTGCTGAGTGTAGGCCGGAGGAGGCGCCGCCTGCTGTTGGTACGTGGGAGCTCCTCCCTGTGGGGTGGTGGGTCCGCCGTAGAAAGTCTGGGGCTGCGGTACAAATGCGGAGTCAGCGAGGCTGGGCAAGGCATGAGAGCTTATAAGGACAAGAAGGACTCTATTTAGTACCATCTGCGTCGGGGGAGGCTGCGGCTGCTGTTGGTACGGCGCACCGCCGTAGTACGACGTGGGCGCCTGCGTAGGAGGCGGCTGCGGCTGGCTCCAGCCACCGCCCGACGACGGGTAGGGTCCAGTGTAGGACGACGGGTCGAATGGGATGGGCTCGTCCGCGGGCCGATACGATGACGGGTCAAACGCGATGGCACCCGAAGCCGGCGGCTGGCCCCAGCCGCCAGCACCGGACCCGTAGGGATCAAACGAAACACCACCGCCGCCTCCTACCCCGCCCGCATAGCCGGACATCGGCGCGCCGCCGTACATCGTGGCCGGCGGAGGAGCGCCATAGGAGCCCGGCGGTGCGCCTCCGTAGGTGGAAGCCGGCGGCCCGAGGTAGGAAGTGGGCGGAGGCGCCCCGTAGGTGCCGGGTGGTGGCTGCCCATAGTAGCCTGTACGGATCGCGGCCACAGTGAGCTTAGCACAACAGCAGATGCCCATCGCCCAGCATGAGAAGCGGTCGAAGCCACTGAGTTGCAGGCCGCAGAGCGCAGAGCGCAGAGAAGAGGGGGCGAGGGTTGAGGGTTGGGCGAGCACGTGCCTGAGGGAGGGGGCATGGGCTGTCCGTAGGAGGAGTTGTAGTCGCCGCCACCACCGCCACTGGCGTCACCAGGGAAGTGCAAGGGTGCAAAAGGATCTGCCTCCTCCTTTCTGTTAGCTACCCCATGCGCCCGCAAACGCTTGTCCACAATCGTGGATGAATTATTTTATCGATTAAGAATAAAATAATATAAAAAAGACCATATATATTATGCGGGCTTGCGTCGTACCGTAGGGAGGGTAGCCAGCCATCGCGTGCAATGCTGCGCGCCGCACAGTCACCGAATGCTGTTGATTGTGTGCCTGGCACCACCGATTGCCGTCACCACTGCTTTCTTCTTTTTGATTATCGCGAGCGCGACCCACGGTTTTTCTGAAGACCTTGAAAACACCAACGCGAAACATCACCGGCCCCGCCGCCGGTTTTATCACCGAACCCGCAACATGTTGCGGTGATGTTTACCGTCGACCTCAATTAATTTGGGTCGGTGGTTGTGGCTGGTGAGGCGATGCCTTTCAGCTGCAGACGTGACGGTTAGACGAGGAGATGCTGCACGTAGGCGAGCTGGCGAAGATTCTCGCCTTCCTGGGCGACCAACGCGAAAAGCTGGTGGCGTCGGACGCGCTGTTCGCGGGGGTGCTCAAAAAAGATGGAGACGCCAACGAGATGAGCGGAACCGGGGGCGGGGGCACACTTTACTTGTCACACCCCGTCTACCCGTGCACGTCGTTCGATGAGGAGAAGAAGCAGCTGGCCGCCCGCCGCGACCGCGAGAGGCAATTGAAGGAGCGGCGGGCCAAGCTCGAGGCCCAGGGCATCACCAATCGCACCGAAGATGAAATCGAGGCGATGGAGATGGAGGGCGAACGAGGCGCCAGCAAGTCCAGCACGCAGATATTGGGGGGCGGCAACGATTCCAAGAATCCCACCATGAAGGTCATCACCTTCCCCGAAGTGAAGAAGGACGGTGTAGGAGGAGGCCAGAAATCATCAACCGCTGGTGGGGGCGCAGCGTTCATCAAGGAGAAGCCCTCCGCTGCGGCCGGGGCGGGGAAGGCCGCGAGCGGCCTGGCCGGCCTCAAATCCAACAACGTGGCCATCAAGATCTTCTCAAACGAAGGTACGCAGCACAGTAGCCTCTCATCTACTCCATCTTCTTATACTGCTTTGCTACTACGTTTGATTGATGAACTGTTCGGCTGACGAATGCCACCAGGTCCGCCGCTGGAGCTGCGCGTGCCCAACACGGCCACGGTGGGCCAGGTCGTGGAGGAGTACGTCAAGGTCCGCCGGAACGCCAGCACGACCCTGAACACCTCCACCTCAAGTATCGGATTGCCGGGCAGGGAGGCCTACTCTCTCCTCATCGCCGAGGTTCTTGTCGCTCTCGCTTCTTCTGCGCCATCACCACCACCGTGTTATCTAGCTCTTACCGCGGTGACTTTGATGTGTGCAGGATGACGGAAGCATCGACAGTGACTTCGAGGAGGTGCTCAAGAGCACCCAGTTCATCAAAAACTTTGGATCCTGTTTCTTCATACGGTGCGACGCAGCCCCGATGAACCTTTGCACTCGTGCCGTTGACTCACTCTCACCACCTGCTCCCTGTGTTCGCAGAAACGAAGGAGGGGGCAGTGGTGGCGGTGAGGGAATCGGAAAGGTGACTCGAGTGCACCTGCCCAACCACGAGTACCAGGTAGGTGAGGGTGGAGCTCAACGGTTTGAGATGAGCGTCGGTCTGATCGCACTTTCCCTTGACCAATGCAGACCGTCAAGATCACGCCGGGCATGCAGGCCAAGGAGCTGCTCAGTAAAGTGTGCAAGAGAGCGGGGGCGATCGAGATGTCGGATCACTACCTTCATCTCAAGTCCACCGATAGCGAGGTACGGCTCATCTTTCGTTGTTCTCGATTGCGTGCTGTTGTGGCTGCGGATGACCGTCTGTATTTCCATTTGTTTGTTGCAGGGTCCAATCAGTTTGCACATCTCTCTCGACGCCGTCATCAAGTCTGACAACTTTGAGATTTCAGTCCGCACAAAGGTGACACTTCTTCGCCACACTGCTTTCCCGCTTTCTTGGCGTTGTTTGCTCACGTCCATCTCTGTCCCTTGTCCCCCCAATAATCAACAATCTACCATTTGCAGCGAGAGCACCAAAGCTACATTCACGCGCCTAAAGAGTTCTGGAGCGAAGCCGAAGCGATGGCCTACAAGAACTACACCGTCAACAAACTCTTGCGGTTTGGCATGGTGCGCTATCATCATCACCAGAGTTATTCAATCCTTCTCTGCCCTTGTCCTGACTCGCTGTGGTTGTTGTTGTTGCAGGTCAAAGAACGCATGCTGGGTGTTCACCACGATAAGCTCACGTCCTCTTCTTACCACGGCAAAAGCCTTCGCGAACACGTACGCGCCGCCTCTTGAAGCGCCCTCTCGGACTATTCGGACTACTAACCGCTTCTAATCTCACCTCTGCCAGTTCTCATGGCCACTGCGCAGTCTGGAAAGCGTGGAGCTCATCTCATCGATGAAGCCCTGCCAGTTCAGGGCCACCATGAGGACCGACAAAGTACTCATCGCCCATCACAACACTCGAGCCATGGAGGTCATGTGCTCACGCCGCTTTGCTTTTCCCCACGCGCCGCAGAGCGAGCTGAAGGTGTACACCTTCGAGGCGCGTACGGCGGAGGAGGCGTGCGAGATCGTGGGCAAGCTGCAGTACTGCTCCAAGAAGATGAAGGAGGGCAAGGAGAATGTAAAATAATGGAAGAGGGGAGAGAAGAAGAGGAAACCACCACCCCACACGCAATCGAGCGAGCGAGCGAGCAAGCGAACACAATCCCACTGGTGTGTGGCGTGTACAGTCCTTGTTGGGAAGAATTATTGAGGACACACAACAGCGTTGTATCAGTACGGCTTGCTGCCCATCGCCCAGCAGGTCTCGTTGTAGGTGGCTCCAGGCACCATGGAGTTAAGCACCGTAATGGGCCAGTGGAGGAACTCGTTGATTTGGGATCCCTTCACCTGGGCACCGTCGTAGCGTCCGACGTCTTGGAGAGTGAGGCCCATGGTGGACAGCTTAAACGTCTTCTCCTCACCGCTGTCGTCGATAGCCCGCAGCGTGATACCGTACTGGCGCTCGTTGTACTTGAAGCTGAGCGGAAGCCAGCCCGACTGGCTGTAGCCAGGGCCCCACGAAGCGGTGACGTTGCCCGGCTGACAGCCGATGCACATCTCCAGTCCAATCTTCATCGGAGTGGCGTTGCATGCCGTGTAGCCCAGCGAGGGGCTCACGACCATAAGCAGAACAACGCAAAATCCCAGCGCCAGTCTCGTCTTCAACTCCATCTTCGGCTTGCAGGTCAAACTGAAGATTGTTGTACAGCCTCGACCGTCGGTTCAGGTGTAATTCAAAAAAGGAGTATATCATTTCCTTATGTTTTCTTTCTTTTCTTCTTAATTTATCGCAGGATCTTGGGCACACAATCGTTCGCCACATTCAATCGCGTTTCGTGCACATAGTAGAAACGTAGAAGACAAATGGAGGCTGCCAAGGCGACAGGCGAGTCCATCGCACCGACGTATATATATGCACTCCTCCTTTCGCTCCTTAGTGCCGCTGCCGCTCGGATCAAAGCCATTCCTTTCCCCAAAATCCACTATTGCGCGATTAATCGCTTTGCCGTATCACTGGATTTTTCTTCTTCATCTCATGGCGGCTTGAACGACAAATCTCCACAAGCCACTCCGATTCTTATTATTCTGGGATTTTTTTTGTTGTTGCGCAGTGTGGAGCAGGAGAAGGCCGTGGCGGGCTTCGAGAGCGACCAGCCACCCGATGCCTACACCGAGTGGGTGGCCGTTGATGGTGACCTCTTTGCTGCCGCGGAAGGTACCTACCGTCCCGCACCCAGTGCGCCTGCCGGTGGTAGATAGGACGCTAAGCGCCAGTTGCATTGCGTTGTCGGCCTCGATTATCAGACATGGAGCTGGGCCAGCTGCTGCAGGCATCCGGCTTCGGCCTGCTCGAGGCCATGTCCGCCATCGAGGTACCCCGAGCTCGTCTGCACACCGCATGCGCCTTCCTCGTGTTCTGCTCTTTTTCTCATATTTTCTTCTGGCCTGAGGTTCATTGACCTCTCCTCTCTACTGCGTATTGCATTTGTCTCATCATCAACTGCCGGCAGATTATGGACCCGAAGATGGACAGCGGCATTGATGCGGAGGGCGTCTACACCTTTGAGGAGGCCCAGAAAGCCAACCTCCTGCCGGCCGAGCTCACCATCCCGCAGGTCATTGCCATCATGGACAAGGCGCTCTGCTGCGAGGTATCGCCTACCGTGTCACTACTCTACCCCGTCTAACGTTGACGGCGTAATGCTGACTTCGCTTCATTTCCTCGCCTGCCAGCTCTCGTGGTACACGGGCTACAATCTCGCTCAAACGGTGCTGACGTGTCTGTACGCACACAAGCCCCAGGCAGTGCCCAACCGGTAGGCTACGCTCCCGGCCCTCTTTGTCTTGCTGCGCACTCTAGAGTGCCTTGCTGTTTCTCACTCTCTCCGACAGGTGGCTCAAAACGTATGCCTGCTCGGTCACAAAGACCTGCGATGAAGTCCGCACGATGGTGCGTTAAGAATAACTTCTCTCTCTCTCTCTCTCTCTCTCTCGCACTGCGTCAGTGCTGTGGGTAATACTTACTTACACTCCTTGACTGGACGGCTCAGGTCATGAACGCAGATGTCTACGAAGAAGGCGATTTCCTGACCAGCACCTTTGGGTTTGCACTCGGATCGGACCTTGATCGAAGTAAGCTGCTCACCGAGCTCAAGGTACACAGCGCGCGCGCGTACGTGAGAGCCTCAATATGAGTAGGAACAACTCACATGCCCTGAGTCATAACAGGAAGTCGAGGAGGACCTCCAGAACAAAGTGAAGCTTCGCAAGGGACAAACGAAAGGCCTTCCCAAGAGTACGAGCCTGTTGGCTTGAGCTCTATTGATTGAAGCCTTCGAGTCAAGTTTTGACTGACGCTCCTTCTGTCCCTCAGACACTAGCCCACTGCAGGCCGATGCCTCCAAAGAAATTCAGTACTGCGAAGCGCTCCTCGCCAGGTTCAGACTCCGCAAGGTACCCTTCGCCCACTTGCTCATCTCTTGCGTGGGGCGTGTCAGCTCACCGGTCTTTCCGTGCTGCACGGGACTACAGTCCTTCCTGGTCATGTTGCAGCTCATGGACCAGAACGCCGGCGAAGGCCTGCCGGGCGCCAAGCGCGCCATCGAGGCCGCTCTCTCACATCTACCCCTCATTCTCAAGTCTCAATCGTACCGTTCCCGTTCATTGCAGTGCGTGGTGTTTTTTGAGAGGGGTATGAGCTGACGCGGTCTGGGGGGTTTCGATCGCAGGCTGGGTGGCGACATCCCTGAGCACATTTTTGACCCTCGTGCCGGCCGAAGGTAAACCCACGGATACACGCGCTCGCATGGAGGATTATTCGGCAGAGCCTAATGCGCTCCGCGCACCGACATCACACACTCACACACACACACACACACACACACACCAGGATGCCGGTGTCTGTGCCCCCGCGAGTGATCGACATCCTCTCGGTGTCCGACGGCGTGGCCTACCTCCAGACCATTTTGAATAACCATCTTCGTTTGTGTGACGCGATCGAGGAAGTCAATGCGTACGCTCTGCCACACTCTCCCACTGCGACACACCTGGTCGCCAGATATTATTAATTAACGTTGCCGAATGGGTTTACCATTATGCAGGAGCTCGGGTAAAGGACTCGTGGGAAGGGACGAGCTCTCTGCCCTGCAAGACTTTGTCATCTCGGTCTCCGCGCGAGACCCGGACATCCTTACGCGGTCCCGCATGAGGGTGCGCTCCATTTGATCGGTTTTTTCTGATGGAGTACGCCCACTTGGCTCACTCGAGTGCAACGTTGTTTGCCCGCATATGAATAGCTCCTGTGCTTCCACAGCCGCAAATTCCTGGGCCAGCGCGACATGCATGACGTCATTCGAGAGAGCATGAAGGTACTACCGCCAGCTTAGCTTTACCAACTCAGCTCACTTAGCTGAGATCGAGTTCTCCATCTGACTGTGATGGTTTCAAGGCCTTCCCCCTCCCCACGGGAGTGGTGGAGCATGCGTTGGGCGTTTCTACGCTGGACAAGATCGGTCGGGTTCGTGCCGTTTCTCCCTCACTCTTCAGTGCTGAACAGTCGATATGCGGAGGTCAAGGCTTGGGAGCTCACTATTTAAATCACTCTGGCTGTGGCCGCTACAGGTGCTTGCGCAGCAATTCCGCATCCTGTCCTACAACCTGGCGCGCCAAAGGCGAAAGGTGATCTTAAGATCTTAAGAACTGTTTGCCATGCGAAGGTGACAGGGCTCTAACGCTCACCTTTACCTTCCCCCCCCCAGTTGCTGCGGTCTCTCGACGATTGGTCTGTGCTCGTGCACGACGCCGACATGGTGGACGCCCTCATCGACCAGAAGCAGGTAGGATCTACATTTACCGCACTACTCACCCTCCACTGCTTTGCAACGCCACACATTCTCACCACCCGGTCCGCACATCTTCAGAGAGAGCGAATGAAGCGAGGCATGCCCGAGGGCGTGACCTACTGGTGGAGCTCCTGGGTGCGCATGCCCATCCGTTCAACTTTTAGCTCGGCCTTGGGTGATGTTCTGCACTAACATGCTGCTGCTGATTAGGTGGTGAGCCAAACGTTCCCAGTCCTGCGGCAATACCTGCTCTCCGGATTTGACCTGGGGCTTTACCAGCCGGCCGAGTACCCGATGATCTATTGGTACCTGGACTACCTCCTCGGGATGCACATCCGAACGCAGGTCCAAATGCGCGATGCCACCAAGCAGCAGACCGGCACCACCATGTCCAGTACGCATTCTTATTCTTTGTGCGAAGGTGAGCACCAGCGTCAGCTCACACTCACAAACTCCTCCGTTCTGGTCACACACACACACACACACACAACAGGCGGTGCCAGACGACCTGTGGCCGAGCGGCGAGCTGCTGCCGGAAGGGGAAAGCTGGCGCACGCAAGCAGGTACGTGCTCACTACTCTGCTGCGACTTGCGTGATCTTTTACTTCCTTCCTAACCTATCAGCAACTAACCGTCCGTCCATCTCCACACAGCCCGCCGGCAAGGTGGCCAACGAAGCTGAGCCGACGGGGCCGGGTAGCACGCTGGCCACCCTCGACTTCTCGGCTCGTCAGCTGACCACCTACGCTCACCATCAGCTAGCCCAGGGACTCTACCGCGTACGTTTTGTTGTCCTTTGTAGCTTTATTACGACCGCCGCGCATGCGCTCATATCGTGAGTGTGCGTGTGTGTGCGTGTGTACTCTGGGGGAAACCAGTTCCTGGTTGGGCTGGGCGTGCACCAGGGGCGTTCCCTGACGGACAAGACCGATGGCTCAGAGTACGGTTCGCTGGAGAACCGCTTCTTCAGTCGCTTTGGCGGCTTCCAGCGCCTGGTCAACCCGCCCGCCCTGCACCCGGATCACTACATCAACCTCACCAACGAACTCATCGAGAAGCATCGGACCGCGGAGGGCATCTACACGTCGGCTTCCGACGCCTTCAAGGAGGCCAAGGCCGCGCTTGGCATGGCCGTCAGCCACGCCTACCCTCCTCCGCCGGTGCTTGTCGAGGAGCTGAAGAACCTCGCCCAGGTGGTGGAGGCCAACCTGGCCACCGTCACCGCGCTGTTGAAGGACATGGAGTCTCCCAATGCCCCCAAGTCCATCGCGACCAAGGTGGTGAACTACGACTTCGCCATCAACAAGCACTACCCCGTTGTATCCGTCAAGGACAAGGGTACGCCCAACTTCATGATTTATTCTTGATTATTTATTTATTATTTCTCTTTCTCTGGTGTGGTGGCTGATCACGCCCGGTTGGGATTTGTGTCGCCGCAGGTGCTGCCACCAAGGAAGGCGAAAAGAAGAAGGCCAACAGGCGAAAGAAGAAGAAGGGAGGCGCCAACAAGGCGGACGACGCAGTGGCTGCCGATGGAAGCGCGGACAAGTCGCCCTCCGCCTAAGTGCGCGGGTCGTCGTCGCGCTGTCTGATGTCCTCCTTCGGTCTTTGTCTAGACAACAACGGCAGTAGTCCTTGCAAACGTTGTCTGTTTGCGTGATCACTGACCACACCTGTGTTTACCTTCACGAGCCTCGTCTTGCAGAACGGAGTAGTGGCCGGTGTGTCGGACACGGGCTGCTGTCGTGCGCCCCCTAGCGCCACCTCCGCAACAGAAAAGAAGAAAAGAGTAGTTTGCCCAATTTTCAAAGACAAAAAATGGAGGTGCCGCAGATTCACCAGAGCAGGTACCCGCCTGTGCCGTTGCCCTCCGACATCTCCCTGGCCGACTTCGTCCTGAACTCGGCCGCCTTCGGTTCGGCACCCGACCGTGCCATCCTGGCCGACCCCCAAGGCCGCACCCTCACTCCCCTCCAACTGCGTCGAGCTGTCCGCGCGGTACCCATTTTATTTTTCAGTATATTTATTTTATTTACAATAGTAAAATCAAATTAATTAATAAATAATCAACTGATTCAGGTGGCGGCCGGTCTCCATGAAGACGGGGTGAGGAAGGGCGACGTGGTGTGCTTGTTTGCGCCGAACGTCCTGGAGTACCCGATCGCCATCTACGCCATCGCCACCCTTGGTACACACGCGCCGCCCACGCACACGCCGCTTCGGCGTCGATCGACTTAGTTCGTCTCGTGCACGCTGACGTTGTGATGTGCGCGCCCAGGCGCGGTGTGCACCACGTGCAGTCCGCAGTACACCGCCGACGAACTGGCGCGACAGCTCAACGACGCCGGCGCCACCTACCTCATCACCTTCTCTCAGTTCCTGGAGAAGGTGTGTCATGTGTCTCGTGTTGCGTGTCGCGTATCGCGTATCGTGTGTGTGTCGTGTGTTGTGTGTAACGATACGTATGATGTGCAGGCCGAGGTCGCATTGAAGGCCGTGGGCGGCGCAGCGGCGATCAAGCGGGTGTACGTGATCGGGAAGTCGGCATCGAGCGGCGACGCGAAGCCGTTCACGCAGCTGCTGGCCTGCACCAGCGCGCCGCCGCAGGTGAAGATCGACCCCAAGACCGACCTCGTCGCCCTGCCCTATTCCAGCGGCACCACGGGCCTCAACAAGGGCGTGGCCCTGACCCACTTCAACCTCGTCGCCAACATCTCGCAGGCACTCTCGCGCCCACTCCCTCACGCACCTCCCAGCGCACACCCTAACATCAACCGCACACCCACACACACCACCGCACACACACACCATCGCACACGCACAACTACACACATGCGACCGCACACGCACACAGTATGTGGGCATGGAACGTAGCGTGGGGCCGGGCGACGTGTTCCTGGCCACGTTGCCCTGGTTCCACATCTACGGCATGGTGATAGTCATGCACGCGGGTCTCTACCGCGGCGTCAAGCTGGTGGCCCTGCCCTCGTTCGACCTCGCCTCCTACCTGCGGCTCACGCAGGTGCGCCCTGCCTGCCCTGCTCTGCCCGCAACGGCGCTCGCGTATACTCACGCGTGCACCACTGCGCGCGGGCCTGCAGGAGCACAGGGTGACGGTCGCGCACATCGTGCCGCCCATCGCGCTCTTGCTGGCCAAGCACCCCAGCGTCGCGCAGCACGACGTGTCCTCGCTCCGGGCCGTCTTCTCGGGCGCCGCCCCGCTCTCGCGTACGTGAGCTCCTTCGTTCTTCGTTCTTCGTTCTTCGTTCTTTTCTTGATGCCCTGTTGCAACGGCAATGCAGGAGAGGTCGAGGATCAGCTGCGGCAGCGTCTGCCCAAAGTGCGCATCATCCAGGGCTATGGCATGACCGAGATGTCGCCTCTCTCCCACGTGTGCCTCCTCACCGACGACGCGGTCCCGCCCGGCTCGTGCGGCCAGTTACGCCACCACACCAGCGCTTTTGCCATGCTGTGGTTTTGACGTGTTGTGTGTGTAGGCTGGTGCCGAATTGCGAGGCCAAGCTGGTCCACTTGGAGACGGGCCAGCCTCTCAAGTCCTACGACGACGAGGGCGAACTGTGCGTGCGTGGTCCCAACATCATGCAGGGTTCGGCCAACCACAACTACGTTCTGTGAGCGACACACACACCACTCACGGCGCGTGCAGGTTATTTAAATCGGCCGGACGCCACCAAGGAGACTATCGACGCCGACGGCTTCCTCCACACGGGCGACATCGCCAAGGTAGACCGCGAGGGGTACTATTTCATCATCGACCGCGCCAAGGAGCTCATCAAATACAAGGGTACGATGTGAGTCGGCATCGTCATCGTCTCCCTCGGCGGCGAGTCATGGGAGTAAAAAACTAACCTCTCTCAATCCGGGCAGGCTTCCAGGTGCCACCGGCAGAATTGGAAGCGAAGCTGCTGGACCACCCGGCCATCGCCGATGTGGCCGTCGTGGGCATACCCGACCCCTACGCTGGCGAGGTACGCGTGTGCGGTGTGTGCGGTGGTGCGGTGGTGCGTGTGCGGTTACTGATTGTAATTTTGTGCACAGCTGCCCAAGGCTTTCGTGGTGAAGAAGGCCGACGCTGGCGAGCTGCGGGGGAAGGACGTGGTGGAGTGGCTCGACAAGAAGGTGGCGCCCTCCAAGCGGCTCCGCGGAGGAGTGCAGTTCGTGGAGGCCATTCCCAAGTCGGCGAGCGGCAAGATCCTGCGCCGCCTGGTCAAACAGCTCCACCGCGAGGGGACCTCGGCCGACGGCCACCACCATCACCACCACCCCTTCCCCGGCAGCACCCCCGCCAAGCTGTAACACCACCCAGACCCAGAGGTATTTTTTTAATACATTTATTTTTAGAGAGTGGACTCAGCTGTCGAACTGGGTGTAGTGGGTCGAGGAGGCAGCCAGCTTGTCCTTGCCCTTGCTCTTCTTGGCTGTCAGGTTGCCACGAAGGCCCTCCTCGATGTCGTGGTTGTTGCCGTGGTCAGCTTCGTTATTGTCCTCCTGACCGCCGAGGTAGTGCTCGCGAACATCCTGTCGGCTGGCGGCCCAGGTGTAGCTCTTCTTGGGCGGCGATGACCCGTCGCGGCTCTTCTTCATTCCTTCCCTGACCACCTGCGAGCCTTCCTTCTTCGCCTCGCCGTCCTCGTGCTCCAGGCCGTCGCCTTCGCTTTCGTGGTCGCTGGTCTCAAGGTGATGGTCACCGCCGTCGATGCCTTCGTCGTAGGGTCGTGCGGTCTGTACTGCGCCCAGCCGAGTGGCCGCGCGGCCGCGTTGTTGCGCGTTGTTGTTGTTCTTCTGTTTGGACGTCTTGTGCGCGCCCCTGAGGTCGCGCTCGGCGGCGAACAGGGCCTCGAGCGTCTTGACCACGGCCGACATGTCCGGCCTCTCCTCCGGCCTCGGGCTCCAGCACCTGGCCATCAGCTCGCCGAACGCCTGCACCGTCATTGTAAGGTGGCTACTACTAATAAACAAAATAATAATAATAAATTCTAGCAATTCATAGAAATCAAATGACGTACGCGAGGGCAGTGCGAGGGGACGGCGGGGCGGCCGCCCTGGAGGACGAAGGGCGGGATGTCCCACACGCGCGGGATGTCGGTGTAGGGCTCCCTGCGGGTGTAGAGCACCCACAGCATGACCCCGAACGAGTACACGTCGATCTTGGCCGAGTAGGGCACGCGCTCGAGGATCTCCGGCGCCATGTAGACCGGAGTGCCGAGCGCCGCAGTGTGGTTGTAGGGCTCCTGGGCCTGCGTGATCGAGCGCGACGTGCCAAAGTCGGCGATCTTGCACGCCACCGGCGCCTTGGCCGACAGCGAGATGACGAGGAAGTTGTCCGGCTTGATGTCCCTGTGCAGCACTCCGTTCCTATTTGTTGGTTGTTAGTCGTTCGAACAAAATTAATAAGGCCAGGTCTAGGCTCGGGCGCAGATCAGAGGTGCCGGCGTACGTGTGGAGGAAGCTGAGGGCCTTGGCCATGTCCAGGGCGAACTTGAGCATCACCAAATAGTTGAACGGCCGGTCGGACAACACCACGTCGGCCACGCTGCCTGTGCAGTGGTGTGGGTGGTGAGCAACCCGAGTCTCTCAATGAATGATAGCCGAAGTGAAAGGTGGTTACCGTTTTCGCAGAGTTCGGTGACGAGGCAGGCCTTGTAGGGCACAACCGACGCCCCGATGAAGTGCAGCACGTACGGGCAGCGCAGGCGCATCATCAGGTCCACCTCCCTGCGGAACTCCTCCATCTCCCGGGGATCCTCCTGGGAGTTGATGATCTTGGCCGCCACTTCCTGTCCTCTGTAAGTGGCCTTGTACACCGTACCGAACGACCCCCGACCTGTACTTGATCTTAAGATGTGGTGTTGTGTCGTGTCGTGTGCGTGTGTGTCGTGTGTGTCGTGTGTGTCGTGTGTGTCGTGTGTGTCGTGTGTGTCGTGTGTGTCGTGTGTGTCGTGTGTGTCGTGTGTGTCGTGTGTGTCGTGTGCGTGTCTAAGAAAGTACCGATGGCGGGAGGCTTGGTGATGATGTCGTCGGGGTCAAGCTTGTGCGACAGCTCGCCCACGAGCTTGATGGTGAACAGGTGCATGCCGAGACCCTCGACCTCGAACTTGATCTTGCGCTCGATGCTGGTCGTCATGTGCAGCGTCACGTACACGTGCACCATCGCGCTCTTGCCCTGCGGAGAGGCCACAACAGTTGGTCTCCATCGACGCTTTTCAACGGTTCAGGGAGAAGAAGAAGAAAAGGAGTATTCGAACCGTCTTGATGACACCGCTGCCCGGGTGCAGGCGGCAGCTGAATTTTTCGTTCTCGGCCGGCACGAAGAAGGTGAACTTGCGCGTGGGTCCTTTACCACGCATTGAAGAGTTAGCACGTGGGCATGGTATGCGTGGAATGTGAGGAGCGGGAGATACAAACCGTAGTTGGTGAGGGTGAGAATGTCGTGGAGCTCGTGCTCCACCGGCGATCGGTCGTTCGGGCCGAGACCGAAGGTGAGCACCTTGGGCGCGAACGAAATGTGCGCCGTCTCCAACTCATTGAGCGAGACCTCCCTTGACACCCTCCTGCTAAATGTGTGTGTGTGTGTGTGTGTGGTGTGAGCCTCTAACTGGTGCGGTGATGCATATAGCCTGGTGCGGGACGTACGATCCAGCGTAGGACGAGGAAGACGAAGACATATCACTCATTTCCGTGGCCTCGTCCATTTCGTCTTCTTCCGACCACTGCTGGGCGAGGAGGAGCTGCTGCTCCTTCCTCTTGCGCCTGGCCAAGTAGAACAGGACCGCAGCCAGAAGGACGACGCACATGAGCACCAGCAGCAGCAGGCCGCCCACCCCGCCCACCACTCCGGCCACGATGGCTCCTGCGACAATGTAAAGAATGCGTCAGCACGTAAGCGACAGGTGAAGAGTTCAGAATGGAATGGTACGCACCGGTCTGGGAGTCATCCGAGACGCACAGGCCATCCGCTGTGAAGGTGCCGCTCTTGCATTCTTGGCATTGTACGTAAAACAGTGAACACAGGCGCGTTTTCGATTACCAATAAAAAAACAAACAAAATGGAGGTGTACCGGCCCCGAGGATGTTGATTCTGAACAGCGAAGAGCGGGTGGGACCGTGGTAGACCAGATCGTTCTCCGTCGGGTTGAATGCAAAGATCACCTGCGCGCCACAGCCGACGAGCAAAATAGTCAGACCAATTGGGGCGAGATGCTGGCTACCAGGGAAACATCACAGCTGTACCTTCACCAGCCCCGGGTCAATGGAGTGATCGTAGAGATCGGTGGTATCGATTCGCCTCGTGAAGCGGCACGTCGTAACGCCGTCAACATGCTCACCGGATACGTCAAACAAGTCTTGCCTTCCACCCAGTTCGACGTCGCTGCAAGTACCGCCACGAGTGAGACGTGAGGTGTGGCCATATATCACAGTAGAGCAGCAGCTGCAACTCGCGTACGTCTTCGGAGGACCCACGTCAAGGGCAAACATGTCGGTGATGCTGTACGAACCATTGTCGGTCCTGATGCAGTGTATGTTAGAACGAGCAAGGTTGTTCCTCATCCCTTTACGCGTGATGAGTACGAATAGACAAGATACGTGACATACCGGCGGCACATGTGAATGTCGGCATTCTTCATGGTATTGGGGTCGGCCTTGAACCCGATCCCCACCCAACCCGAGTTGCGGCACTGTAGGCGGTCGTGTGCGTGTCGTGTGTGTGTCGTGTGTCATTCTTCAGGAGGACTACCAATTTTGTTGTGACGTAGGAATATGCAATAGTCTGTCGATTTACCTGGAGCATGATGTGGAGTCGGTTGTTGCTGCGGTCAACAGTCCATGAGAAGCGGTAGGCCGGTGAGAGGTCCATGAAGTGGGCGTACTCTCCTGCGTACGGGAAAAACTGATCGCCGACCCCTGCCAGAAGAACAAACCAGTGAGAAATCGAACGAACGTTTACCAGATAACTCGAGCAGCAGCGTGGCCAACGGCAGCGTACCCACTTGCGAGAGATAGCGAGACTGGAGCCAGAAGGTCTCGCCAGCGAAGGTCGCCCACGGTTTGACTCCGGTGTTGCGAGCAATGATGTCCATCAGCGTCTGTTGGCGCACGACCAGGTCGGAGTGGTCAGTAGCTCGAACGCAGCCACAGGCGCTACGACGAACCGAAGGTGCGTACCGTGTTGTAAATGAGCGCAAGCTCGTCGGGAGTGAACATTCCGGGCCGCTCGTACCAAAATCTGTCACCGTCCCGCATGCGCTCCAGCTGATGAACGGAAGTGAGCGAACAAGTCAGAGCTGAAAGGCTCAATCGAGAGGAAAAGCACCTGACGAATGATTGCGTTGTGGAACAGCGGTCCCAGATTGGAGTAGGTGACCTTCTCTGTGCACACGAAAGAAACGTAAGAGACCACCAAGAGAAGGCAAGTCACTGGCGCACGTTACCCTCCAGCAGTCCGCCGACATAGGGATCCATGTGCTCAGGTCCAGAATAGAGTTCCTCCAGAATGGCCTGGAGGAGGCCGACGCCAGGGTGAGCTAAACATGTGAGGCAAGGCCCAAGGAAAGTAAACGCACCCTTATCTCGCTGTCGCTGGTGAACTCTGCAAAGGTCGCCGGAGGGCTGCTCGTGAGATTGAGCGCCTGAGCACAACGTGATGACAATTCGGAGTGGTGAGAGCGCATACTTGGAAGTGCGAGGCAAGTAAGTAAACAAGTCAGGACCGCCGCACCCTGAGACATGCATTATAGCCGGGCAGGCCGTGGTCACGTCCCCGCTGGATGTTCGTCGCAGCCAAATCACCGCAGATCCCGACCGGCCACTGATTCTGGTTGTAGATCGGCGTGCTGAACATGAAGTTACGGCTGTCGACAGACCCGAGAGATTTTAGTACTGGTGGTCAGTTCCTACATCCAAAGTGTGATTGAGTTGTTATGCGTACACATCGGAGACGAATGATTCGTCGACCGCGCCCTGTGGTTGCACGAGAGAGCCACGAATGACCGAGTCATGCAGGCTGTTGTCCTCGGTGAGCGCCGGATCGCTGTAGCACAGTTATGATAACATAAAAAAAGAATGACAAGTTTAGTAAGTGAAACACACAGGAGACGGAACGGGAGTCATCATATAGCGTACTAGAAAACCTCGCGCAACAGAAGGTTGCCGAAACCGGCTTCTTGGAAGTTCTCGTCGAGCAGTGGGATCACACTGTTGGCCTCGGAGTGACCGTACCGCAACGCCGCTGCGCAGAAGAAATTGTCGACCGACGGATCCACGTCGGGGTTGTAACCTGTGCAATACAAGAAAGAGAAGACGTTGAGGCTGTTGGCCCATTTTTGGTGAGGCCCATGAGCCACTTTTCGCTTGTACCTTGGTAGGGCGACAAATATGTCCCGAGCTCCGCGGCCAGCCATTCCCTGGTCGATATCTTCTGCCAGAAGGCGATCAGCCTTCAAAGACAAGAATTAGACCTGACACTATTACAATCGCCGGGGCGTATTTCGCAACTGCGGAACGGGTACCATTTACGCGCCTGGATGAAGAGCATGTCTTCGGCCCACTCTGGGTTGGCCGCCCTGAATTCAGCGCACAGGCGATTGTGCTCCGAGCCCAAGACCTGGCATCGAGGAGTGGTTAACGTGGCGTTGCAAGAACGTAGATATCGACACAGAGAGGGAACGCACATCGGTGAGGGCGACCATATACGGAGTTTTGTTGGTGCGCTGGTCGCCACGCAACTTCATGATGTCAACGTTGGGGTTGACCTTGAAGGCAAACTGTGCGAGCGCCAATCAATTCAATGCCCTTCCGATCAAACACGTAGCAGCATTCAGACAACCGTACCACTTGGGTGAAGTTGAGCCAGAAATTGTTGTTGATCTCGCACCGAGGACCCGTACCGGTCATCTCACGCATGGGAAACCAAAGGGTGAGGTTGTCGGTCGGTCTACAAAAAAGCTCAGCCTCGTCAGTGCCACTGTCACAAGGTGCGGTGGGAGGCATAGTAACGCACCCGTAAAGGAACGAAGCATCAATAAACGATGTGGTGTCGTGCATCTGCTCTCTCAGAACCTACCGACAGGGAATAGGGAAAGTTGAATGGTTACAAACCATCTAACAAGCACTCTGCTGGGGGTAGTTGTCACGTACGTTGGGAGCGGTGTTGCCCTCGAAGGGATACGAGCGTCGGAAGTAGCACACTTCAGTCCCAGAAAGCGTCGGGTCGTAAAAAAGATCGCCTTGCGGCACTGGAATGTCCAAATTCTCCACGGGTGCCGGGTAGGATTGAGTGGCCGGGATGAACGGGGCTGCCTCTCCTGCACGCCATGCGTGAGGCCAGCCAACAAATCGTTGCGTCCCATCTGTGACGACTCAGAGCAGCAGCACGCCACGCAGGGAATGCCCAGGGGTCCTACCTCGAATGGTGTTACAGAGATCGGTCACGAGAACCTGGCCGTAGCTCGTCTGCAACTGGCTGGTCTGTCGCGTGTTGATTTCTGGAAGTCGCGCTGCATCAGTTGAACGAACACAGCCAGCAAGAGAGTCTCGTGAGGGGGCATGAAGTACTCGCGCGTCTGGCAAACAGTTTGTTGCTGATCACACGACCACTGGTTCCGTTTAATCTGCCAGATACAAAGTTTGGCGCTGAACACCTGCTACATGAAGAAGGTAAACGTCAAAGGAAGAGGAACGCACCTTGCCGGCTGACCCCAACCGTCGCCATAGGCCGCGGGTACATCCTCTGTTACATAAGACCGGTCATTAGTGATCGGTTTCAGCGTAGAAATCGTGGCGGAGACGTACGCCGCGTGTAGGGCCTGTACGAAGCGCCCCACTCGGTGTGGGCCAGGTTGTTGCCGTGGCCGCTGATGCTTCGCGTGCACTCGGGTGCGCTTCCGTAAACGCAGTCCAGCGGCGCCCCTCCGGTTTGTCCCCGCACTGGTGGGCGTGTGGGGAGGGGGGCAAGACCAGTCAGGAGCAGGTGTTAATGACCGGAGATGAGATTCCGGTTGAGGGAGACCGGTGTTGCCGCGGGGGCGGACTTGATCAAAGTTGACCTTGGCGTGGTGTTCACCAATAAAGCTCGACCCCCATGGGGAATAAAACGTACCCAACGAGAGACCGGAGACAGTGACGGCAATGAAGAAGATGACGAGGTGCAAGGGATCGGATTGCTTGGAGTACATGGAGTGCCTGCGTTCCTTTGGCAGGATTAAGTTAGCGGTCGTTGGGTTGATTTGAACCCAGGCCTGATGGCAGAGGGGAGGTACCTCGATCAACTTCTCACGCTTGCAGTTTTGCAGTCGTTGTGTTGCTCGCACGGCAGCAGAAACAAACAAGAACACAGGCAGGTGGAGAACACAGTGCGCAGTGATTAGGATTAGAGGAAATAGACCTCCGGCCTACCGTTCGTTGCTGGACCGGCCACTCGGTTGGCGACACGTTTGCCGTTGGTTCACGTTCAACAGCCTGCGGAGTTACGGTGCCAATGGGAAGAGACACCTCCACCTCCAGCAAACTGCGTACCTGGAAAAGCGACAAAGGCATCACGCCACTCGTCACACAGAGCACTCCGTAAGGTAATAGCCCGTACGGTAACATAGGCATCGACCAAACGTTGAGCAGGGCAAGAACAACTGTGGACGTTGCCTTGGCCCGGCCCTTTGTATTGTAGAAGTGGCGTAAGTCGGAATGGGTGGGGAGAGGGTGGAGAGATAGCGGGAGGGGGTTTTCTCTGCTCACTCCCGCACGACGCTCAGCTTGCCCCGTTTGCTGGCCGTGAAGTTGATCGGGTGCTTGTTGTAGAACGGCCAGTCGAAGAGACACACCTGACGCGAAGAACAAGAAGAACGGGTTTAATGGTGAGAAGCTTCACCAGTGCGTGTCTCAGGAAGATGATGGTAAAGGCTTACCGCACAGGTCAACAAGGCACCGGCGCCCACGATGTTCACCGTCAGCTGCATTGCGGATCGGCATGTGAGAAACACACAAGACGGACGACTGCATGCGTGTCTCATCTTCCATCTCCCGTATGTGACGCCACTTCATCTTCACCTCTCTTCTTCTTCGTCGTCTTCGCTATGGCCTTGCGGGGTGCGCGTGTAAGGTCCGTACCTGAAAGCTCTGCGAGAAGAAGCCAGCAACAAAGGCCAGCACCTGGAGGAGAAACGTTTTAGATTAAGGTCGTGCGCAAAAACAGAAGGGAGGGGTGTTGTACGCCAGAGATGATCAGCATCCACTGGTAGAGGAGCTCTGCAAGCAACTGTCCCTTGTAGTCCTGCGATTGAACAAAGGGTAATTCAGTGCCTTGAGCCGATAAACATTCGGTTTCAAAGCAAAGGTTCCCACCATTCTGGTCTCTTGCGCGGTTGACAATTCGATTTCAAATCTTTGTGACCCAATCCTATTTATTTTTCTATTTCCTCCATTATTCTTATTATTATTTTGGATGGACAGCGCAGCCGAAGAGGTCGTGGGGGCCACGGTGGTCACGCGCGAGCTGCCGGTTTACCACATCGACCTGGACCTGTGCTTGCCCATCTTCTTGATCAGATCTTTCGACTTTTAGGCTTTGATTAATCGGTTTCGGTGAGGTCTGCAGGCCGCCCCAGGAGCGGTGGCGCGTCGTGTGTGAGGACTACGCCCACCTTTTTCACAAGCTTGGGTACTGTGCACCACGCGCCAGTCAAAGTTGAGACTTGCGGCACTCACCCGCTGGGCGGACCGGCAGGCAGTACGTCGATGACTCGGCGGTGGAGGACTTTGGCGCGACGCTGGGCAAGTCGCTGTTGAATGTGGTGTCGTGGACGCTGTCGTCGACGGGCAAGAGCGGCCTCACGCCCGAGCTCCATCAAGAGCTCGAGGGCATCTCCAAGTACTACTTACGCACCTCTGCCCCATGAGGTGGTCGATCATAGCAGCGAACCGCTGAGCTCACTCAATTCGTAGATACTCTGGTCTGTCGATGGCAAAGCTGCTCCTGCTCAACATTGGCTACGACCTGCTCGCTCGGTGCACCTCCATCGTCTCCCAAACAACCGGTGCGCTCCTTTGTCCGCGTCGTTGTTGAGTGCCGGGGTGCTGAATGCCGCACGTGATCGTCAGACGGCCACCCGTTCCATCTGCGTACCTTGGACTGGGGCGAGGAGGGCTGCATTCTGCGCGAGCTCACGTTCGACGCCATTTTCACGCGGGGAGGCGTCGACCTCTTCCGCGCGACCACCCAGGCAGGCACAGAGTCCCTCACGCCACTCGCACCTTGGCCCTTCATCACCACCCACCACCTAATCCTCCTCACCCTTTTGTATGCAGGCTTTGTCGGGATATTCACTGGAATGCGCTACGTCGACGATCAAGATGGTACGTCATATAACTTTGGAATGTTAAAGAGTAATATGATATGTAGAAAGATATATATATATTTAACTAACACTCATAGATAGCTTGCGATCTAACGGGTGCAGTTCACTGTCACGCGAACACTAGGCGGCTATAGCGTTTCGCTCAACTATCGGCAGGTGACGAATTCGTCGGGCGCGGTGGCGTGGAACGCGTGGGGCCTGCTGACCCAGGCGTGGCCTCTCGGACCCATGCTGCGACACACCCTAGAGCACTACCCCTCCTATCGGGAGGCCCTCGACTTCTTCACCACGGCGCGAATCGTGGCGCCGTGCTACCTCATCATCGCAGGCCTCAACCGGGACGAAGGGGCCTTGGTCACACGGGACCGGGATGGCGAAGTACAGCGAAAGGAACTCGGCTCCAGGTCCGCACTCCCTGCCTATGGACTGGGTTATGCACTTTTCTTGGGCGCTCACATGCTGAAGAACCGCTTTTTCCTTTGGCACAGTTGTGGTACGCTGGTGCAGACGAACCTCGACCATTGGCTCGACGCTGTGGACCCTGCGTGGGCTGGCGAGGACCGCCTTCTCCTGAGCTCCGTCGAGCGGCGAAACGCGGCCATGGAACTGTGCGTCTCATCATGCACAACCGCAAGGCCACGTGGTGCCATGAAAATGATCTGACCACACTCTGGACTTATGGTCTGGGGCTGCAGGATGGACGAGCTACTGGCCTCCTGGGGCTCGGCGCCGTCGCACAGTGACGATGAAGAAGAAGAAGAAGGCAAGGGAGCGATAGGGTCCGTCGTCATTGATGGCCACGGCGTCGAGGTGGCGGCGGATCCGGATCGCGACTCGGGTGCGCGAAGCGAAGCGGCTGACGACGAGGCGAGGCCTACGAGGGTGGTCGACGGAGAGGAGCTGGCGCGATGGATGCAAGTGCTGACCACGCCGCCGGTGCTCAACCCGGCCACGCTCTACACGACCATCATGTCGGCCTCGCTCTCCCGGCGCTTGAACCCCGCCTCGACCGGCCCATCACCCATCCCCGACGATGATGATGATGATGAAGACGAAAAGGACGACAGGCAGAAGAAGGAAGGAGACACCACCAGCAGGGGTGTCTACCTGAGTGTGGGTGTGAGCGTCCCCCACTGCTCGTGAGCTTTCGGCGCAGCTCCAACGAATGAGAAAGTAGTGTACAGTGCGGGTGAGGGTTGACGTTGGAATGTGAAGCTTATCGTGGCCTGGCGAGTAAACGTTTGGCTGTATTACAACTCACATCAACGCCTCACACGTCGCCATGGCTCTTCCTCCGCGCTACATCGGTACCACCCCCACCGCCAGCAAATCTAATCTTGCACTCGACCTGAAGAATGAAGAGGGATTAATCAAAGCACATCGCTGCGCTCTCACCACTTAGGGCACCACTACAGCCACGACGCCGCTTTTGACCCGCGCAAGGGCGCCACGCTCGAAGTCTTCCTTGACCTCCACGTGCGTGCCCCCCCCCTTCACTTCCTCTGGTGCTTTTCCGCTGGTGCGGCAGCTTACCCAGGCCATGCGCTACGCGGCAGTGCCCGTTCTCGAAGAAGGCGCACTTCAAGCTGAAGGAGGTGGTGGCGCACTACGGCAAGGACAAGCTAGACGTCGTGTTCATCAACTGGATCCAGCCGTGGCACCCGCAGGCCACGTGGCTCCACTCGGCCCTGCTCGCTGCGTCGCTCTTTGACGACAAGTCCCTCTTCTGGAAGCTCGCCGACCTCCTCTACGAGAAGCAGGACGAATGTAAACCAATTGGACCACCCACGCGCGCACATGTAACACACTACTGACGTGTGTGTGTCGTGTGTCGTGTGTCGTGTGTCGTGTGTCGTGCGTCGTGTGTCGTGTGCGTGTGTGCGGTACAGTCCGTGACGAGAAGGTGGAGAAGGTGAGCAAGGTGGAGTTCTACGACCTCATGACCACCTACGCCAAGGTACTCGCATATGCTCGCATAGGACTCAAACTCACCTTTGAGCTGACCGGCTTCTTCCGGCACAACCAGTCGGTCGGCATCGACGAGGAGCAGTTCCGTAAGAACCTGGCCAGCAACGAAGTCGTGCAGCTGATCAAGTGGGAGCAAAAGTACGGACGTCAGAACGGCATCCACGCCTCGCCCACATTCCTGGTGAACGGCCTTGTGGTGGGCCAGGCCTCATCCGGCTGGACCCTCGAGCAGTGGCGCGAGCTCCTCGACCCCCTCCTCGCCTAATCCGCAGTACCGGCCCAGAGTCAATTAAAAGCTACGACGCTCTTCATTTGTCCGTTCACTCGGCTCGCTCGGCAGACCTGGTCGGCGGGCTGCAGGTGGTGGAGGTCGTCGCCGCAGACATGGCGCGCATGCGCGCAAAGTGTTCCCTCCGCTTGACGATGACAGGCGGGGGCACCGACCGCAGCTTCCCGCTGGCGTAGTCCCGCCTCTCTTGCGCCTTCGCCTCCGGATCCTCGTCTGCCTACGCCCCTCCCCCTCTAATCAGACACGGCGCACACATGGCACACGACACACGACCAACGTCACGTCTCGTACCATGCCCAGCGCGTACTTGCGTACGTAGCTCATTGCGTATTGATCGTGCGGCGACGTGCAGCTGTACAGGAAGCGATACACGAAGCTGTCCAACAGCTACACACGTAAAGTGGGCACAAGCGAACACACGACACACACGACACACACACACACACACACACACAAGTCGCCTTGAGCAAGCAATACGACACACACAAGCGTGTGGGTCTCCTGAGGCCGTACCTCGCCCTCGCAGAAGAAGCAGTACATCATGACCCCGCAGAGCAGGCACCAGATGCCGTGCTGCGCCGCGGTCCATCGGCCTCCGCCTGCCGGGCCGGGCCGCAATTGCGCCAACCCTCGATTTGGGTCGGGCCGAGCCAAGAACGAGCTGAGCGAGCTCCACACCATCCCGCACGCTCTGTTTCATTCTTCAGCACACGTCTAGACCATTGGGTGAGTGATGAAGATGAGAGGGAGGTACGCACTTGAAGAAGACGTAGAGGGAGACGGCCTTCTGCCGCTCCTTCGTGTCAAAGGCGATCGACAGACCTGTGCATACGCCGATTATTTATTCTTTGCGTTAATGGACCGCGGCACAGGACACACAGGACACGACAGGACAGTCAAACCTGCGATCGTGCCGGCCAAGAAGGAGTTCCAGCCGTCATCGGTGCCGCGTAATCGCTGCAGCGCAAACTCCACCACGCGAAAGCCTCCCGTCACTGCGCAAACAACACATCGCACACACCGCACAACACGTCAGGTGCTGGTGAAGCGCGTGCCGAGGGGGAAGTAGGTGCGTACTGGAAGCGAGGAAGGCGCCCAGCCGCAGAGATTCGCGGTTCTGGCTGCCGTCCCACAGCCACCACCACGTCCCGCACCGCTCCGGCTTCACTTGGCCGTCGCCACCGGCCTCATCAACGTTGTCCGCCGGCGGAAGCGGCGTCACCGGCCCGTCCCTCTCCTCCTCCTCTTCCTCCGCTTCTTCTCCTCCCACTTTCGCGTTCTTCTTCGCTCTTTCGCTTTCGCTCTCTTCGCACTCGCCAGCGCCGTCCGTGTCGGCTCTGGCGGACGCGGGGCCGAGGGGTGGTCGTGGTTGTTGCCGGCGGCGGCGACGACGGCGCAGGCGGCGTAGAAGGAGGGGCACGAGGTGGTGCACGACGAAGCGGAACAGGAGGTGCCCGCCGCAGCCGGCAGCGAGGGCGCGCCCGCCAGCGCCCGCCGCCGCGGCCACCACCGACCCCCACGACGTAGACGACGCTCCCGGCACCACCAGGGGCAGCATCCTTCCAGCCATTAATGGGTCGCTTCTCTTCCTCTTTTTCTTCTCGTCTTCGATTCAGCTGTCACGCCAGGAGGAGGGGCGCCCAAATCGAACTCGAAGAATGATGAAGATGAATGGGTTTGGCAAACTTGAACCAAACTAAAATACAAGAGAAAAAAACGGAAAACAATCGGGAAAATCAACTCCCGCCTCTTGGGCAGAGCGCGTGAAGGGAGAGCTTTGTCGATTCTAGATGCCGCCGGTGTGGTTGCGCTTGTCCTTCTTCTGCTTGCCCTTCTTGTTCGAGTCCGAATCCGAGTCCGAGCTGAAGTCGATCTGCAAGCCGGCGAAAAGCGGTCAGATCTCGGCCAAGCGCCTACACAGACTGCCAAGGTAGGTGGTAAGGTTACCTTTTTGGCCTGGCCATCTTCGTCGTCGTCAACGAGACCCTTACGTCCGCCCTCCCAGGTGCGCGCGCCGACGCGCTCCTCCTCTTCCTCCTCGAAGCCGCGTGCGGTCTGGGCACGGTCGGAGGGCTTGGCCTTCTTGCCGCCGCGCTCCGAGTCGTCGCGCTGGCCCTTGAGCGCCTTCTCCTCCTCGAACAGCTTCTCGAGCAGCGTCACCACCTCGGCCATCGTCAGCCTGCCCACCCATCACTTCAGTGAGAAAGCGAAAGCGAAGACGAAGGCGAAGACCAACAAAAGCGAAAGCGAGAGCGAGAGCGAGAGCGAAGACGAAGACTAAAGAGAGATCTCGTACCGGTCGTCGGGGTCGTGCGCCCAGCACTGGCTCATGAGGCTGCTGAAGGCATCGGGGCAGTGGTCGGGGACGGTGGGGCGGTTGCCCTTGATGACGTACTTGGGGATGTCCCACTGCCGCTTGAGCTCCGTGTAGGGCTCCCTCCGCGTGTAGAGCACCCACAGCATGACCCCGAACGAGTACACATCGATCTTGGCCGAGTAGGGCTTGTGCTCGAGGATCTCCGGCGCCATGTAGATGGGCGTGCCCAGCGCCGCCGTGTGGTTGAAGGCCTCCTGGGCCTGCGTGATCGAGCGCGACGTGCCAAAGTCGGCGATCTTGCACGACACCGGCGCCTTGGCCGACAGCGAGATGATGAGGAAGTTGTCCGGCTTGATGTCCCTGTGCAGCACTCCGTTCCTATTTTGTGTGTTGTTAGTGTCGTGTGTGTCGTCCGCGTTGTGAGCGTCGTTGTGTGTGTGTGTGTGTGTGTGTGTGGTGTTAGGGCTTGTGGCGCCAACAGAGATCGGAGGCGTACGTGTGGAGGAAGGAGATGGCCTTGGCCATGTCCAGCGCCACCTTCAGCATCAGCAGGTAATTGAAGTTCTTGTCGGAGAACACGACGTCCGACACGGAGCCGTGGGTGCAGATCTCGGTGACCAGACAGGTCTTGCCGGGCACGAACGAGGCGCCGACAAAGTTGAGCACATAGGGACACCTCAGCCGCGTCATGATGTCCACCTCCCTGCACGACGTTCATCATACATTCACCACCATCAGCACCACAGGAACTGCATTGGCTGTGGCAGCCAAGAAAGAAGAGAGAGAAAAGGGGGCAAGGGAAGCGAACTTTTGGAACTCGGCCAGCTGGCGCCTGTCCATCTGCGAGTTGAGCACCTTGGCCGCCACCTCCTGGCCCCGGTAGTTGGCCTTGTACACCGTTCCGAACGATCCTTGCCCTGTACGTGCGTGCGTGCGTGTGTTATTTCAGTCATCGTGTTGTCGACAACAACCACGACTGTGTCGTGCGCACACGGATTGCGTGAAGACAGAAAGTGTACCGATGGGCGGGTTGGTGGTGATGATGTCGTCGGGATCGAGCTTGGTGGACAGCTCGCCCACGAGCTTGATCGTGATCAGGTGCGACCCGAGGCCCTCCACGTCGAACTTGATCTTGCGCTCGATGTTGGTCGTCATGAGCAGCGTCACGTGCACGTGCACCGTCACGCTCTTGCCCGACTTGATCACGCCCGAGCCCGGGTGCAGCCGGCACGCGAACTTGTCGTTCTCCGTCGGCACGAAGAACGTGAACCGCCGCGCCGGTCCGTGGTTGGTGAGCACGATCTCATCGCTCACCTCCTCGTCCACTGGGCACTTGTCGTTCGACCCCAGCCCGAACGTCAGCACCTGAACGTGTGTCGTGGTAGTGTCGTGTGGGTTGGTCGTGTGAGCGCCAAACGTACAACCACAGACCACTGGCTTGGTGCGGGTCAAACCTTGGGCTCGAAGGTGATGTTGACTGACTCGAGGTCCATCAGCGACAGCTGCTTGCCCAGCAGAGTGGAGCTGCGGACCGACGCACTCGATGAGGCGGAGGACTCGGACATGTCGTCCATCTCGATCGATGCCTCGTCGTCCGACCACTCCTCGGCCAGCAGCAGCTGTGCCTCCTTCTTCTTCCGCCGCGCCAGAAGCAGCAGCACGATGGCCAGCAGCACCAGCAGGATGAGACACAGCAGCAGCGCGCCGCCCACGCCGCCCACCACGCCGCCGATGATGGCTGCCGTGTCGTCCGACGAGCAGTCCGACCCGAGGCACGTGTTGAGCAGGTTGAGCCGCGCCGCCGACGAGCGCGTGGGTCCGTGGTAGACCAGCTCGTTCTCGGTCGGGTTGAAGGCGAAGATCACCTTGTTGAGGCCCTCCGTGATGGTCTTGTCCCACGGATCCTCTGTCGAGATCCGCCTGTTGTGTGTGTGTCATCGCACCCACTCACCGGTCAGCACGCGCACCACCGCGCACACGCACACACGCACAAGCGCGGGAGAGGGCGCACTTGGAGAAGCGGCAAGTGACCACGCCGCCCTCGTACTCGGCCGATGTGTCGAACAGGTTGTTGCTTCCGCCGCTCAGGGTCTGATCGCGCGTGGGCGGACCCACGTCGAGCGCGTAGGCGTCGATGAACTCCCACGTGTCGTTGGCCCACCGCCGGCAGATGTGGATGTCGGCGTTCTTCATCGTGGCCTCGTCGGCATCGAATCCCACCCCCACCCAACCGCTGTTCCGGCACTGTTTCGTTGTGTGTGTCCGTGGGTGTCGTGTCGTGAGGCAGTTGTGGTTGGAGCGCATGGCACACACCGCAATGGCGTCTCGACAGACAGATAGAGCGGAGGCACGAACGAACCTGGATCATCATGCGGATGGCGTTGTTGGCCTTGTCGGGCGTCCACGACAGGCGGTACGCCGGCGACAGGTCGACAAAGTTATCATATTCGTCTGAGTTCCTGAAGAACTGGTCTCCGCCTGCAATGTGTGCGCGTTCATTGCAGCACGGGGTCAGGACTAAAAAGAAAAGCGGCACTGAGGGAGGGGAGGCGGCGGACCGATGTTGGCGAGGTAGCGCTGCTGGAGGAAGAACGTTTCACCGGGGGTGGAACCCCACTCGGTGACGTTCATGTTGCGCGAGATGATGTCCATGAGGGTCTGTGCGCAGCCGACGACGCGGTAAGCAATCAAGGAATTCCAATCATGATGAGAGGAAAAATGCGGTGGTGTTCATCAAAGAGAGGCGTACGGTGTTGTGGACGATGGCGAGCTCGGCCGGGGAGAACATGCCCTTGCGCTCGTACCAGAACCGATCGCCGTTGCGCAGCCGCTCGAACTGTGTAGATTGAGCAGGGTGGTTTTGGGTGAACAGCGATATTATGCGAAGCGCGGGTGCTAAGACGAACCTGGTCAAGAATGACGGTGCGGAACAGCTCACCGACGCTGGCTCCGATCACGTGGCCTGTAATTGATAACCCCGACACGAGCGCGGTGAGTGGAGACTCTGTGGGCGAAGTGCAGGAAATGCACGGCGTGCGGGCGAGATGGTGTGTGGACGCACTCTCGATGAGTCCGCCGACGTAGGGGTCCAGCATGTCGATGCCGTCGGGGCCGTAGAGGTCCGCCAGAATGGCCTGGATCTCGGTGTCCGGGGTAAGCTCGGCCCAGGAGTTGTACGTGGGCAGGCCGAGTAGCTCGCGCGCTCGGTTGTAGCTCGGCATGCCGTGGTCGCTGCAATATATGAATTGGCCGTCAAAAAGAGGTGAGTGATCCCACAAACTCGAACTCGACCACAAGCTGTGCAGAGCGAAGAAAGGCAGAGTACCGAGCACGCTGGATGTTGGTGGCGGGCAAATCACCGCAGATGACCTCCTCACCAGGATTGGTAAACTAGAACAATAAAAAACGAATCATCAGCTACCACATAAGTCAAACCATCAGCGGGGGAGAGGGGTGACATGTACCTGATTCCACGTGGGGGTGGAGAACATGTAGTTGCGCAAGTCGTCGACAAAGGAGGTGTCGACCAGGCCTTGCCTCTGCACCGTGAGACCGCGCAGCAGATCCTCGATCATGCCCGGCGTCTCGTCGATCTTCTTCGTCTGGCTGCACTCATTCACAGGGAGTGGGGTGAGGATCACAGAGGCAAAGAGGAGGAGGGGTTGCGCTCACGTACAAATACCAGTCGCGGACGAGGATGTTGCCGATGGCGCTTTGCTTGTATTCATCATCGGCCAAGAACACCTGCGAGTTCACCATGGAGTGGCCGTAGCGCATGGCCACCGAGCAGAAGAAGTTCTCAATGCCCGCGTCCACTGTCGGATCATAGCCATCTGATCGCACACACGCCCCACACGACACACACACACACACACAGGGAGTTAATGTTAGCGGGTTGATCCTTCTCTGTCCGGTGTGCAGGCGTCTTTTTTTTCGTACTTTGGCCGTAGTAGGTGGAGTTGAGAGGCACGCCCATGTCCGCCGCCAGCCACTCTCTTGTCGTGATCTTCTGCAGGAACGCGATGATCCACTTGCGGGCCTCTTCGAAGAGCCGGTCCTGGGTCCATTCGGGGTGAGCGGCCTCGAACTCGTCGCACAGTCGGTTGTGCTCGAGGCCGAACACCTCGGTGAGGGCGATGAGATCGGGCGTCTTGTTGGTGCGCAGGTCGCCCCGCCGCTTCCAAATGGCCGTGCCGTCGAGGGTCTCCGGAATGAACGTCAAACCGAGCTCGGAAGGAGGGAACCAGTAGGAGTTGTTGAGCTTGCACGCATGGCCGCCGTCTGTACGGGCGACGTCAGCGGTTGGCCCCTTGTTAACTTTTAATTATCAGCGCCCAATGGGGAGACTCGAGCAGGGCACGTACCCTGACGGATCTCCTCGTAGACGAACTTGGCGAATGGATTCGGGGCATGTCCCGTCGAGCTGAGCAGCGATGAGGCAAGCCTTGTCAGTCATTTGGAGGGGAGGGAAAAGACGGGAAAGAATGAAAAGCGATAAAGAACGAAAGGGGTACCCGTAGAGCCACGAGCCGTCGAGCCAACCGGTGATGTCGTGGAACTGGTGCCGCAACCCAAACTGGTTGAGGGCAGGAAAGCCGGGGGACCGATCCAGGGGACATGTCAGGTTCGCGTCGGCGTTCGGATTGTAGAAGATATCGTCTGCCAAAACAAACAGCACACAAAGAAGAGCAAGCGCCAAACAAGTCCCCAAGTGCCGATACACAAAAGCCGGAGAACATAGGGTTAGAAGCCGAGCAGCAGCAAACATAGAGCAAACAGAGCTGTCTGTCTATGATGCGACCAGGGTACATACCCTGGGGAATGGGGATGCTGAACTTCTCCCTATGGTAGGTGGTATTGGGCGCCCACAGGAACGGGAACTCTTCCAACTGGAGCCCTGGGCAATCGCACGCCCGCCAAACGTGTGATGCAGGGTCAATCCCGGGAGACACAGTGGAAGAACTCAGGGCAAGAGAGTACCTCGCAAGGTGTTGCAGATGTCGAGCACAGTGAGCTGGCCCCAGATCGTTTGCAGGTCGTTCGTGAGGCTCGGATTGGCCCCTGCCCATGAATGACGAGCGCGTGGAGTGGTGAGCCACGGTGGTGTGCCCCTGGCGTAGTGCGACAACATGGCCGCCGTGAGATAAACACGGTTGTACCGGGGAGGCGGGCGAAGAGCTTGTTGCTGATCAACCGGGCGCTGGTGCCGTTGTGTCGGGCCGGCAGGTGGGTGACCGGATCGTCGTACTCTTGCGGGATCAGATCTGCGGGCAAGGGCAGTGTCAGCACTGTGGTGAGTGTGTGGGAGAGGGAGCAAAGCACGTACGGTGAATGAAGGTCGCGAAAGCCATTCCCATCCTGGGGTTCGTCAGACTGTTGTTGCTACCTGTGCGTGGTCGTCGTGGACACCACCAGGTGTGGCCAAAGATGGCACACAGCCAAAACGCACATCGGTTAAAAATTTGAAAAATGAGTGGCCAAAATAGTGCGAAATTACTGAAATATTTCGCTTGGCGCGTTCCCTTTTTTCGTCGCTGGGAAGAGAGGAAGAGAAGAGGAAGAGAGGAGACACGAACCATCAGGCTGGCGAGTGAGGTTGAACGTGGTCCCGTATTCGCCCTCGAGACCAGCGTCCACGGCCCGGCCGGGGCAAGCCAGGAGGGCCAGCAAGAGTGCCAACAAGACCACAACCACGCGCGACGAAGACAACGTTGAAGAGAAGCGGTTTTTCATCTTCGTCTTCTGAGTGGAGGAGGGGAAGTCAGTCTTCTTCATCTTTGTTGGTGGTGAAGAACAGCTACTGCGCAGGGGAAGGGTCAAACATGACCGAGACTAGACGAACCTCGAATTAAAATACACTTTATCCACCCAGGGCGACTAGCGGCGGTTCTGGGGTCGCTTGCAGGGGGGCGGAAGGGGGAGAGAGGGAACAGACAACCCAAAAGCAAAGTCCAGCGCGAACTTGTGACCACGACTTTCATTTCAAACGAACCCGTCTTTATCCCGGTTTTCGTCATCTGCCTTCTCGGACCAATGGCGCGCCGTCGGAGTTGAGTGTCCTCTCGGTCATGCCCGGCAGCAACACCTTGGCGTTGGGCTTGCTCGTGGCAGGTTGTGGCAGCTGTTGCGTAGTTGGCGGAGTGGCTGTCTCCGATGTCTCACCGGTGGTGTCCGTGGGTGCGATACAAGATCGGCTGCTTACGCCAATCGGACAGGGTGTGCCCGAGGCATTAATGAAGCCACCCAACCGCAGTTGCGGCGAAGGGAATAGAGCCTCTGCTTTCTCTTCTTCTTTTCTCCTCGCCACGTCTGCCTCGTCCATCCATCGATCCTCCAGCTCCACCCTTGTTGGCATCGATGGCGCTTACGCGAGGCGTTCGCGAGAGCGACCTGGGTCTGCCCAAGGCCGTGCCATCGATTTGCATCTTCATCTTGTTCTCGGCTCTGCTTTCCGCGTGCAGGGCCGATGTGCAGTCCATCGACCCGGGACTGCAGGGAGAGTATGGCTCCACACCAGAACTCACCCGCCACCCCACCGGTACTTGCTTTTTTTAATTTCCTTGTTATTTTTATTTATATTTGTCTTATATATAATTACTCATATTTTTGGTTGCTATCACTCTTTTGTTTTTTATTTATTCTTTTTTAATTAGATCGCTGCGACCATCTTTTTCCCTTCCTTTATTTATTTATTTATATTTTTATTTTTCGGGTATTACGCATAAAATTCGGACGCTGTTTGCCATTTTAGCTCCGAGGAGGCGGAGGCTCCGATCGAGAAAGTTGTGAATGGGGCTTCTGCTTCTGCGCACCAACGCCTTCTTCTTCATGTTGTCCAGGCGCTAACGTGAGCGAACTGAACGGCGCCATCAACTCCCTCTTCGCGCCATTCAGAGCTGGTACGTGGCTTTGTGCGCACCAGGCCTCGCTGTGACCCTTCGGAATTATCCGTGTCACACGGCCGAGATCACAACGCGCTTACACACACGACACACGACACACGACACACGACACACGACACACGACACACGACACACGACACACGACACACGACACACGACACACGACACACGACACACGACACACGACACACGACACACGACACACGACACACGACACACGACACACGACACACGACACACGCACCGCAGTGCTGGTACCACACGCCTACACGGACGACCTGGAGGCGCCGCCGAGAATAGACGGACCGAGCGCCCGAAACATCAGCAACAAGCTCTTCTCCCGCCTCCCTGGTACGTACGATTGTTTGCGATCGGCGTTGGTGGTGTGACCGACAAGCGAGCTAACCACGGATACGCGCGATGATCACTGAACAGGAAACAACCCGCTGCTCACGAACGATCTGCAAACGATCTGGGGCCAGCTCACCGTGCTCGACATCTGCAACACCGTGCGAGGTACTGCTTGCCCCTCCCTCAATCAAGATACTCACACTAATTGCAGCTATATAGCCTGAGTGACCCCTTTTAACTCCTGTTTGCTCCTCTTGACGGTCTCAAGGAATTCAACTGCGTGATGCCTATCCATTCCTGATCGCGCCTGCCAATTACACGCTCGAACAGTTGGGCATTCCCATTCCAGTCGGTACCGACCTCGCTTTCCTTTCCTGTGCGTGCGTGCATGTGTGCTGGATCACCGAGATGTGCGTCACCTTATGACGTATGTGGTGGTGTGGTGGTTTGTTTTTGTTGATTAGATGATCTGTTCTACAACCCCACGGCGAACGAGTCGCTCAAGTGCCCGCTGCAGCGGTCGGCTCCCCACCCGTCGGCCTACCCCTTCAACCCCACCGCGCAGCGCAACCAGTTCATGGACATCACCGGCTGGCTCGACGCCTCGTGGCTCTACGGGTACGAGCACGGGTCCCTCTCCCTTTAAAACAACAATTTAGTTCCGTGACTGACTCACGAAACGTGCGCGCGCCTGCAGTTCGGTCGGTTGGGACCCGCATGCCAAGTTCACCTACAACGAGGTTCGCGCCAAGAATGGTACTGACGCCCGGCCTCACGACACACCACTGTGGCTCTTCTGAAGACCCCTCCCCGGCCCATTGCCGGGCACTACAACAGGCGCGGGAGACTACACGTGTAAGCTCAACAACTCGTACTGGTTCTTCCCCCATGAGGTACACATCTCACTCGTGCGCTCGTCTACGTGATGATGATGATGATGATGATGATGATGATGATGATGATGATGATGATGATGATGATGATGATGATGATGATGATGATGATGATGATGATGAATCCCTCGAACGGTACTAAGCCTGAGCGATTTTTTTGTGCAGCTCGAGCTGACGTTCATCCCGGAGACGACGCAAAACATCGCCATTTGGAAGCGGCGGGGCGACCTGCGCACCAACAAGACGCCCGATCTCATCGCCCTCACCGAGGTGTTCGGCCTCGAGCACAACCGACTGTGCGACGAGTTCGAGGCCGCTCACCCCGAATGGACCCAGGACCGGCTCTTCGAAGAGGCTCGCAAGTGGATCATCGCATTCATGCAGAAGATCACGACGAGAGAGTGGCTGGCGGCAGACATGGGCGTGCCTCTCAACTCCACCTACTACGGCCAAGGTACGCTCATCTCAACTCCTTCATGAACAAGAACGAAAGCGAAGACTCACCACTTCTTCTTCTTCCTTCTTTCTTCTTTCTTCGTTGATGCAGTCGGCTATGATCCGACGGTGGACGCGGGCATTGAGAACTTCTTCTGCTCGGTGGCCATGCGCTACGGTCATTCAGAGGTAAACTCGCAGGTGTTCTTGGCCGACGACGACTACAAGCAGAGCTCCATCGGCAACATCCTCGTCCGCGACTGGTATTTGTACGTCAACCCCTCCTCCTCCCCCACCTTGCCTTCGCATTCCTCTTCACCACGTTATTCGCTCACCCACCCCCTGTGAATGAGTGCAGCCAGACGAAGAAGATCGACGAGACGCCGGGCATGATCGAGGATCTGCTGCGCGGTCTCACGGTGCAGAGGCAAGGCCTGGTCGACACCTCCTTTGTCGACGACTTGCGCAACTACATGTTCTCCACTCCGACCTGGAATCAGGTGCGTCACAGTCCTCCGATTCGTTGCTGTCGATCCGCACACTCACTGTTGAGTGTTTTGGTTTACGCCACGCCTTAGTTTTCCAATCCCGGACCGGACTTCCTGTGCGGCGATCTGCCGGCCACCAACATCCAGCGTGCCAGGGATCACGGCATGCCAGACTACAATGCGGCGCGGGTGCAGCTCGGCCTGACGCCCATCACGACATGGACCGACCTCACCAACGACACCGAAGTCGTCGTACGTCTGATTTCACGAGCTTTCGTTTTTCAGAGATACAAAGAGGCATTGACCTGACCACTGAACAGCAAATCCTGGCGGAGCTCTACCCTGGCGGCGTTGGCACGCTGGATCCCTACGTCGGCGGACTCTTCGAAGGTACGGCCACCATCCACACAGCAGGAGGAATGCCAAGCGCGTGGCCGGCCATGTTTCTCACATTCCACCACCCAAACCCAACATACAGTGCACGTCACTGGCGCGCACGTTGGCGAGCTCTTCCACAAGGTCATCATGGATCAGGTGCGCAGCTTTTTGTCCCCCCCCCACGGTCCTGCTCGTATCGCTTCCACACGCACATATGCTCAAATCGCTTCGATTTTTTGCACAGTTCGAGCGGCTGCGCAACGGCGATCGGTTCTGGTACGAGCGCAAGGGCATGTTCACCCCGGCCGAGCTCGCCATCGTCCACAACACCGTACGCCTCTCTTCCCTTCTTTCTTGGAACTCCCTCTTGCACACGCCCCACTCTCCTCCTCCCCTCTGCTGACCCCACTGCTTCGGTCGCGCTCATCAGACGATCATGGACATCATCTCGCGCAACATGAACGTCACCAAGTGGGGTTCCACCCCCGGTGAGTCGTTCTTCCTCCAGCAGCGCTACCTCGCCAACATCGGTCCGCTCGCCCCTTTCTATTGCTGCTCCGTTAGCTCCTACCGGTGGGCTGACCCACGGCTGTGCGTGCGTGCGGGCATTCTGATCGATTGCAGGCGGAGACCAGTTCTTCAGGAACTCGGACGAATATGATAACTTTGTCGACCTGTCGCCGGCGTACCGCCTGTCGTGGACTCCCGACAAGGCCAACAACGCCATCCGCATGATGATCCAGGTACGTCCCCGCCTCCGCTCTACCTGTCTGTCGTGCCGCCATTGCGGTGTGTGCCATGCGCTCCAACCACAACTGACTCACGACACGACACACACGATACGACACACACAACGAAACAGTGCCGGAACAGCGGTTGGGTGGGGGTGGGATTCGATGCCGACGAGGCCACGATGAAGAACGCCGACATCCACATCTGCCGGCGGTGGGCCAACGACACGTGGGAGTTCATCGACGCCTACGCGCTCGACGTGGGTCCGCCCACGCGCGATCAGACCCTGAGCGGCGGAAGCAACAACCTGTTCGACACATCGGCCGAGTACGAGGGCGGCGTGGTCACTTGTCGCTTCTCCAAGTGCGCCTCCCCTCTTGGTCGGGAGTAAGTGTGTCCTGTGTGTGCGATGGTGCGCGTGCTGACCGGTGAGTGGGGTGCGATTACGGCGCACACACCACGAACGCAGGCGGATCTCGACAGAAGATCCGTGGGACAAGACCATCACGGAGGGCCTCAACAAGGTGATCTTCGCCTTCAACCCGACCGAGAACGAGCTGGTCTACCACGGACCCACGCGCTCGTCGGCGGCGCGGCTCAACCTGCTCAACACGTGCCTCGGGTCGGACTGCTCGTCGGACGACACGGCAGCCATCATCGGCGGCGTGGTGGGCGGCGTGGGCGGCGCGCTGCTGCTGTGTCTCATCCTGCTGGTGCTGCTGGCCATCGTGCTGCTGCTTCTGGCGCGTCGGAAGAAGAAGGAGGCGCAGCTGCTGCTGGCCGAGGAGTGGTCGGACGACGAGGCATCGATCGAGATGGACGACATGTCCGAGTCCTCCGCCTCATCGAGTGCGTCGGTCCGCAGCTCCGCTCTGCTGGGCAAGCAGCTGTCGCTGATGGACCTCGAGTCAGTCAACCTCACCTTCGAGCCCAAGGTTCGCCCCTCACCAAGCACCCAATTCGCCCAATGCTCATTGATCCACTGATTCACACAACACACAACACATACAACGCACACAACGCACAACGCACACAACACACAACACCCGGCACACGGCGCAGGTGCTGACGTTCGGGCTGGGGTCGAACGACAAGTGCCCGGTGGACGAGGAGGTGAGCGATGAGATCGTGCTCACCAACCACGGGCCGGCGCGGCGGTTCACGTTCTTCGTGCCGACGGAGAACGACAAGTTCGCGTGCCGGCTGCACCCGGGCTCGGGCGTGATCAAGTCGGGCAAGAGCGTGACGGTGCACGTGCACGTGACGCTGCTCATGACGACCAACATCGAGCGCAAGATCAAGTTCGACGTGGAGGGCCTCGGGTCGCACCTGATCACGATCAAGCTCGTGGGCGAGCTGTCCACCAAGCTCGATCCCGACGACATCATCACCACCAACCCGCCCATCGGTACTCCTCCTCCTCCTCCTGCCTTCTCATCGTCGCTTTGTCCATCACCTCCCTCTCTCCACTTGCCGGCGAGTCCGTGTGTGCACACGACACCGTTGTCGACAACACGATGACTGAAATAACACACGCACGCGCGCGCGCACGTACAGGGCAAGGATCGTTCGGAACGGTGTACAAGGCCAACTATCGGGGCCAGGAGGTGGCGGCCAAGGTGCTCAACTCGCAGATGGACAGGCGCCAGCTGGCCGAGTTCCAAAAGTTCGCTTCCCTTGCCCCCTTTTCTCTCTCTTCTTTTCTTGGCTGCCACAGCCAATGCCGTTCCTGTGGTGCTGATGGTGGTGAATGTATGATGAACGTCGTGCAGGGAGGTGGACATCATGACGCGGCTGAGGTGTCCCTATGTGCTCAACTTTGTCGGCGCCTCGTTCGTGCCCGGCAAGACCTGCCTCGTCACCGAACTGTGTACCCACGGCTCCGTGTCGGACGTCGTGTTCTCGGAGCAGAACTTCAATTACCTGCTGATGCTGAAGGTGGCGCTGGACATGGCCAAGGCCATCTCCTTCCTCCACACGTACGCCTCCTGTCTCTTTTTGCCTTGCCCCCGTCCCTGTCTCTTGACTTCTTGCCTTGTTCGCGCCACTTGGGCTCAACGCACACGACGCTCACGACACCGAACAACAACAACGAACAAATAGGAACGGAGTGCTGCACAGGGACATCAAGCCGGACAACTTCCTCATCGTCTCGCTGTCGGCCAAGGCGCCGGTGTCGTGCAAGATCGCCGACTTTGGCACGTCGCGCTCGATCACGCAGGCCCAGGAGGCCTTCAACCACACGGCGGCGCTGGGCACGCCCATCTACATGGCGCCGGAGATCCTCGAGCACAAGCCCTACTCAGCCAAGATCGATGTGTACTCGTTCGGGGTCATGCTGTGGGTGCTCTACACGCGGAGGGAGCCCTACACGGAGCTCAAGCGGCAGTGGGACATCCCCAAGTACGTCATCAAGGGCAACCGCCCCACCGTCCCCGACCACTGCCCCGAGCCCCTGCGCGAGCTTTTCAACCAGTGCTGGACTCACGACCCCCGCGATCGGTACGCCGTTTCGCTCTCGCTGCGTGTGCCTGTGTGCGTGTGTCGCTGACGAGAGCGCTCACAACGGCGTAGGCTGGATATGAGCGAGGTGGTGACGCTGCTCGAGAAGCTGTTCGAGGAGGAGAAGGCGCTCAAGGGCCAGCGCAATGAAGCCGAGCGCGGCGGTAGGAAGGCCCGCGCCTCAGGCAGGGCACAGACTGCGCGTGGCTTCGACGAGGAAGAGGAGGAGCGCGTGGGTGCGCGCACCTGGGAGGGTGGTCGAAAGGGTCTCGTCGACGACGACGCCGCCAACCAAAAACACGACGTACGATCTCTTCACTTTTCGCTCTTTGGTTTATCGCTTCGTTCTTTTTTCTCAAGTGCGTGAACGGTTGCCTGTCGATGCAGGTGGAGGTGAGCTCCTCTTCGGACTCTGGCTCGGACTCAGACTTCGCGCCGAGCAACAAGAAGGGCAAGCAGAAGAAGGACAAGCGCAACCACACCGGCGGCATCTAGAATCGACGAAGCTCTTCCTTCATGCGCCCGATAATGAAGGTTGGCTACTGTAATTGTAGGGACGTCAATTAAAGACAAGGAGGATGGTCAATCAACACAAGCCCTACTTGGGCAGCCTGGCCACGGCCAGAGCAAGCCAGCCGCCCATCAACGCAAAACCGCCCAACGGCGCCGAGCCCTTGAACGACCTGCAACGTTCCATTCATTGGTTGTCAGGGTTGTACTCTCACAGCCATCATCATCGTCATCCTCATCAAGACATTCATGGCGATACGTACGGCTGCTTGTTGTCGGTCAGCGCCTTGGCGTACATGGTGCCCGAGAAGAGCGTGATCCCTGCGAGCGTGTGTGGGCACTGTTAGCTCACCGAGGCTCGCTCGCCGGGCGGGCACCACACCAGGTGGTACGAACCGGAGAGGAAGAGGGTGCCGGCGACGTGGCTGTAGGGCGAGGCCACGAAGCCGCAGGCGAGGAGGGCGAACGAGTGCGCGAGGTGGTAGTGGTTGCCGGTCTTCCACAGCTTGAGGAGGCTCACGTCATCCACCTTCGCCACCAGCCCGTGCGACCCATACGCTCCCGCGCCCACTGCCGACGCACCCTACACGCCTCGGTCTCAGATCATGTGTTTGCCCAAATGTAATTTAATTTACCGAGTCTGAACGTCGCAACAAATCACATCCACAAATCTATGTGTGCGATTACCGAAAGGCCGCCAAGGCCGAGCCAAATGGACCGACGAGACATGTTGGCTCGGGAGGAAATGTGGTTGTTGGATTCTGTGCGGGAAATAGTATTTCTTTTAGATTTTTACAGGAAGTGTTCGCGCCAAGACGGGACGAATTAAATTGAATCTAATCGAACGAAGGCCAATTGCTGGGCGAGGGGCGCATTCGCGATCCGATGCAGATGAATGTGGACGTGGAGGCCTGGCTCAGCGCCAAATTGGAAAATCCCTGGTCTTCTGAGCGGCTGGCATCTACACTCTCGGTGCCGACCCTGCAGCAGATCAAATCGCGTTTCGCACTACTCGACACACCCATCAAGCTTCGGCTCCTCTTCTCCTTCGCGTCCTTGCGCAAGAAGCTCAAGGATGAGCTCGAGAGCGAGGTGCAAGACCTACTCGTTCTGGGCAGTGAAGACGATGACGAGTGGGTGCGCGTCATATCGAAGATGTTGGAAGTGCTGCTGAAGGAGGGACCGCCCGAAGGTGAAGGATCGAGCGGTGGAGGAAGGGGCGGGGACATCAGCAAGAATGGACCGTCATCAAACGGCACCACGACACTACACAGCCATCTGGAGGCTCTCGCCCTGGCGCTCAACAACGAACATTTCACGGACGTAATCGAGCAAGTGCGGCAGCGACGTACGTCTCTGCCACTGATTCACTCCTTTATCATTTTTATTTTTCTATTTGTTTAATTATTAATCGTATTTACTCATTTCATCTTGTGTGTGTGCAGTTGAGGAGCGAACAGAGCCCCTCCGGTTTCACCCTCTTGAGTTTCCCTTCCTCAACAAGTACGTCCGGTTTTCTTCACAGTGCGCACACTCTCATTGCCGTCGTGCTTGTACTCACTGCGTTCACTACTTTGTTGGCCGGCGGCAGAGAGCTGGTGCCCGAGCTGCCTACAACAACGGAGCCACACTTCAAACTCAAGAAGCCGCTGGAGGAGCCCGCGCCGCCACCTTCCATCCTGAAGCGATCCACCTCTAAGACAGTCCCCTTCAAGTCTTCCACGCCAGGTACGTCCTTCAATTTCCCTCACCCTACGCTCACCCTAGAGCACGCACTCAACGCGACGCGACGCGATGCGACACGACACGCGTGCGCTCACGTAACGTAAATAATTTGGCTCTCCTTTTTGCAGACGTGGGCGCAGAGAAGGGTGGCCTCTCCAAGTCGGGCTCCCACATGGCCAGATCCGTGTCTCTGGGCGGTTCAAGTCCTGGCCTTCGCAATAGCAGCGGCGGCGGCGAAAGGCATCGCCTCTCCTCCTCCTCCTTTTTCCGGACCGAGCTCTTACCTATGTCGGGTGTGTCGTGTGTGTGTGTCGTATGCATCGTGTGCATCGTTTGCGGTGGCCGTGTGCGGCTGCAGAGGTATCAAGCGAAGTCTCAATGCGTCGCGCGGCAGCCTTGGTGGGCTGTCGTCTTCCCATAAGAAACTTCGCGTTCTCGACCTTGACGAGGTTCGTGTTCTCTCTTCCCTCCGCGCACCTTGCAGGAGCCCTCGTCAGTCGTGAACCATGCTTACGCTTCGGGACACTCCACCGCCAAATTCTCTCTCAATGCATGCAGGTGCTGGGCATGGAGCAGAATCAAGAGGTTGAAAAGATGAAGAAGAAACACGGTACGTGCACAACTCCTCCTTCTCTTCGCCTTCCAACGGCGTTGGCACCGAATTCTGATGAGTGTTTTGTTTTTCCGTCGTTCAGCCGAAGAGGAGCAAGAGAAGGAGCGACGCAGGAAGGAGAAGCACGACATAGCCGAGGCCAAACGACAGGTACGAACCACAACAATGAACAACTGCGCAAGCGGCCGGAGATGTGCCCCTTCCCGCTCACTTCGTGGTATTCGCTGCGCCTCCACTTCACACCGACCGTGCAGGAGAGAGAGGAAAAGAAGAAAAAGAGGAACGAAGAGCTGGAGAAGCGCAAGGCCAAGAAGGAGGAAGAGAAGGCCGAAAAAGAAGGTAATCTTATTCTTCTTCTTCTTGCACATCGTGCTATACGTGTGCTCATCGCTTTCGCTCTTTTTCTTTTGGTCTCCAGCAAAGAGAAAAGAGCGGATTGCTGCGCTGGCACAGGCCAAGGCCCAGAGGAAAGCAGCGGCCGCTGCCGCAGCCGCGTCCAAGAAATCAGGTACCGCCCTGGTTAGAGATGCGCTGCGATCGAATGACCTCCCTCACCCGTGCTCACTCGCTTTTCGCAGCAACTTCGCCTGAACTGTCGCCCGAACTGTCGCCAACCATGGACTCGCCGGTGACCACGCCATCACACACGCCCACCTTTTCTCCGTTGGCCAGTACGCGCTTCCCCCCCTCACCCTCTCAAGCCTGGGCGAAGGGTGTGTACTCACGAGTCATTATTATTATTATTTGGCGAAGGTCCCTTCGTGGCCAGCCCATCGCCGGCTATGCAGCAGCGCACACCACAGCAGCCCGGCGGCGCGTCGTCCGCACCGTCCGGCCTCTCGTCGCTCACCTGTACGCGTGATCACTTCACCTCTTCTTTTTTTGGGCCTTCTGTGAGCTCTTACAACTACGAACCCCAACCATTACTCACCGCACCGCGATGCACCACAGCGCCCGGAGGGATCGGCGTCACGGTGGGCGGGGGCATGGGCGCGCTGGGGTCGGGCGGCATCTCCACCGCGCCATCGGGACCCTACGGCTCCGCCTCCCTCTCCTCCGCGCTGCACTCTGGCGCGTCCGCGGCCTCGCAGCAGCCCGGCATGAAGGTACCCAAGGCCTCTTCCTCATGCCACGTCATCACCAAACTTATCCACTGACTCGATAACACACACACACACCACGCAGCCGTATTCGTTTGGCGGTGGCCTCAGCCCGCTGGGCGGCGGACCCGGGTCGTCGAGCCTGGGAAGCGCGCCCAGCTTCCTCCAGGGCACGTCGCGGCCAGGCGGCCAGGCCTCATCGCTGCTGTCACAGGCTCTTCACCCCTCGCAGGCCCCCTCGCAGCCCTACAATCCCGGACAGCCGGTATCGCAGTCCTCGCTGCTGTCGGCGTTCTCCGCATCGCGGCAGCACCCGATGGCGCACCACCAACAGCAACAGCAGCAGCCGCCGTCGTCCCTGCTCTCGGCCTACATGAACCAACAGCAGCCCCAGCGTACGTTGCGTCGCGTTGCACACCCGACGCCGTCGTGTGTGTGTGTGTGTGTGGTGTTGGGGGGCGGGGCTAACCGTATGTACGAATGCGAATAGACACGGGATACGGATCGGTTGGGGGCAACTCGCTGGGACTTGGCGGGCAGCCGTCCATGCTGTCCTCCTACGGAGTGCCACAGCCTCATATCCCACCTCAACCAGGTACGTCAGGCGCGTTTTCGCACCACCGCACACGCACACACAACCGCGCACACGCGACAATAGCTCATGCATTTCTCGCGTTGGCGTACGGTGTCGGCAGTGGGCGTGCCGGGCAATCTGTTGGAGCAGGCCAACAGACTGAGCGACAGGGACCGTCAACTGTTGGTGGCCTTCCTCAAGGGCGAGTCGCCAGGTCAGCTGCCTACGCACGGCGTTCGCCAGATCCTTTTGAACGAGGTTTACAAAGTCATAGTCGTGTGTGTCGCGTGTGTCGTGCACGTGAGTGTGAGTGTGTGTGTGCGTGCGTGTCGTGTTGTGCTGTCCAAGACACGGTCACCTCACACGCTGTCTATTAGGAGGAGAAATTGGGAGAAGGCGGAGCGCGGTACCTGGAGCAGATCATATTCGAAATCAACTACCAGAGCGGGTACGTGGCCTAGTCGTAATCTCTTTTTTTGTTGTTGTTGTTGGCTTTGGTGGTAGGCTCACCCTTTTGGCCATCTTCTCTCGACGACCGCAGATCGTGGCGGAAGCTGAGGCGCAAGAAGGTGCTCAGCACACCGGCTCCCCCTCCCCCGCCGGGTCCGGACCCAACCAAGCCCGCCGCCTAAGCCTGCCTGCCCTCTAATCTCTCCCTGTACATACGCTCCGCAGCGTGTCAGTATCACTCTTCCCACGTTCTGAGCCAACATGTTGCATTATTGTCCGTCAAAGATCTAACCAACCAGCAGACCGGCAAACAGTGATTATATAGTTTTATTGACATGTTGTTGCTTACAAATCATCGCCCTGGAAGTTGACCTGGCCGCTTCCACCGTAGATCCGGTGCCACAGCGCCCACCGGATCGTCACGGCGACGATGACGGTGCCCACGACCAGCACCAGAGCACCGCCCACGAGCGCCGGGACGAGGATCTTCACCAGGAGCAGGTCGTCGCCCGACCCACCGTCTTCACGGTACTGGCCCAGGAGGAGGCCCACGTTCGGGTCGTACAGCGCCTCGTCGAAGTCGCCTTGGAACTCCAGCGCCAGCAGGTGGCGCCTTGGGTCGGTCGGCCCCGCTGGCTTGATGCTGGTGCGCACTCCCTGGCCGCCGCCGGCACCACCGGAGGGGGCGGGTCCCACGACGAGCAGGTCGTCGGCCAGGAAGAAGTTGAGCACGCTCACGGCGCTGAAGTACGACGCGCCCTGGAGCACGCTCTCGGTGGACTCGAGGAGCGCGCTTCCGTTTCCACCGAACTCTCGCCGCACGCCCGCAAGCAAAGCCGCCTCTTGTTGGAGGACGACGTCGAGCGAAAGTCGAACGTGGCGGTCACCGTCCGCGCCAATTCCTCTGCCCTGCGTGTGTTTCCGTGGAAAATTAACTTCAAAACCGGTTGGTTGGTCGGTGAAGCAGTTCGATCGAAAGTATACCTTCCAATAGGAGAAGCCCAGGTCGATCTTGAGCGAGAACGATGGCAGCGCGACATTGATCCCGTTGACCGGCGAGACGGTGACACCATCCTGGAGCAGGCACTGGTTGATGGTGATGAAGCCTCCGTTGGCTGCCACCCCTTCGAACGTGGTGCAACTCACCATCACGCCCTCCTGCCATTGCGAGTCAATCAAAGGGCTAACCAGCCATGTCTAGATCGGGGCTGAGAGTGGCGTACGAGATTGGCAAGGTCGGAGCGGGAGCGCTTGAACGCGATCTCGTCGACGTTCTGGCGCATCAGAGCCACCGAGTTGGCCGCCGAACTGTTGGAGACCTCGAGAGTCGTGTAGTTGACCACCACGCTCAGCGCCCGTTGGGCAGCGCCGTTGACGACCGGATAGATGAGCGCGTTGGGGCTGTCGCCCTGGAACTCCAGTTCGAGCCAGTAGGTGCTGTTGGCTGCCGGAGCTGCACCGAGCGTCGTCAGCGAGTCGCAGAAGCTCAGCGTGGCCTCGCCGTAGGCCGCCCCGCTGCAGTCCAGGCACACATTGCCCCCAGCGCATCGGCCGCATTGATCAAGTCCCGCCGTGCATGGGTTCTGTGCCCCACGAAAGTTGAGGGAGAAAAAGAAACAACGCTGAGTTGTGTGCTATATGTACCTCGGTACCGGTCGTGCACAGGTTGGGGTCCGCGTTAAAGACCACGGAGGAGTCGCTGAGGCCGCACAAGACGTCATTGAGCACAGCACTGCCGCTCACGTTCTGGAACCCATTCCTGGTGATGACATCAAAGGGGCAACAAAGAGTGTGAGAGGTGAAGAAGGAAAGCAATGAGGCGGTCGACCGGTCACCTGTAGACCGAAGAATTGGTGAACACGGCGATGCTGTTGTTGCCAGCTCGAACTCCGAATTGGAGGTTGCCCACGATGACCGTGTTCTCGACGGTCATGTTGATCGGCGCCAGGTCCTGAACGTCGATGCCGTAGGTGTTGGCAATAAAGACCGAACCTAAGCACACCCCGGCGAGGAGGTCTGGTTTCAGTTTCTGATCATCGAGCCAGTGAGCAAAGCGGTTGGCTGGTACGAAAGTATACCGGTGACGGTCGTGTTGTCGCTCGTGTAGGGCACAATGCCGCCGTTGTTGCCGATGAAGCGACAATTGGTAAAGCTGGCGCTATCTACGTTGGCTCCGACAGCCAAACCTCGATTCCGTTCGAACACGGCATCCTGTTGGTCGACAGTTGTAAGCGGACCACTCATTCTTCGGGGCGGAGGGGGGTGCGGGGGCCGCTTACCTCCATGGCCAAGGTGAGCGTGTAGAGGGTGTTGGCCATGGAGAAAACTGGATTCGTATCGACCACTCCATTGTTTTGGAAGACGTCACCCGACGAGTAGACGTCATAGTCCAGCACTCTAACGGCGTCCACTGCATGAACGACACACATCGGCAGAGAGAGATGAACGTTAAAAAGGTGATGGTGATGGTGATGGTGATGGTGATGGTGATGGTGATGGTGATGTGGTACCTGCACCTCCTGCGTTGCTGATGAAGGTGTTGCGTTGCGAGATCAAGACACTGGGCGGCTTTCCCAGCGAGCGTCTGGCCGTCAGAATCTGGGCCAACAGAGCGCCTGTGCTGAAGCTCGCAGGGTTGGCGGAGTTGTTCCGAAACAGACAGTCCGCGACCTCCAACAGAGTCAGTTGGCTCGCCATCACCGCTCCACTCGTGACTGCATTTCAACCACATTAGTATACACCAATATATCTCTTGATAGAAAGATATATAGAGATATAGAGATATAGATATTCACCATTCAACAGTGGCTGAGTGCAGTACCAAAGCTCGATCCACTGGGGGCGGCGTTGTCGATGAACGAACAGCGATGCAAGCTGAGCGTGCCCAATAGAGCCTGTACCGCTCCGACCGAGTCGGCTTCGTTGTTCGCAAAGGTCGAGTCCTCAATGCGGTGCTCTCCCCGGACCACCGACACGACAGGCGAGGTGGTTCCTGCCCAAGGAGGAGGTCATCAGCTACTGATGTCGTCCACGAGAGCAGACGGAGGTACGCACTGGTGCCTGTGAATGTGCAGTTGCTGATGATGGTCTGGCCGTCCACCACCGATATGGGCTTGCTCCCCGTTGCGTGCGCTGCAATACAATTGAACGGGGAAGGTGAGTCGCGATCGATAGTTGTTGAGCTGGTGCGCGGTGCCATTGGCGGCGCGTACCGATCTGAAGGAAGGTTGTTCTATTCAGCGCCAAAGGCGCAAGCTGGTTTGCGCGTATGGTCAAGTTGTTCGTAAAGGTGAGGTCTGCGAATTGGCGCCAAGGTGTAGTTCGGGCTCATATCAACGGACAGCAAAGCACGAACGAACAAACGAACCGTGAATGAGCAGCGAATAGTTGGCAGAGCTGGAAGACGTCAGAGAGAGCGAGAGGCCTGATACGATGGCCTGTGCAGCTGTCGCTGGTGCTGAAGTGAGTGTGATGGACGCTTCACCCGCTATGCAGCCATCGCACTCGATTCGATCTTCCGTCAGCGAGTACGACTCTGCCGCACGCGCACACGCACACGCACACGCACACGCACACGCACACGCACACGCACACGCACATGCACACGCACACAAGCGGGTCCGGTTGGCCACAGGCACAGCAAACAAGGGAGCGGTGGAGACAGAAGGAATACCGAGAATGAAGAACGTGAGGTTGTAGGGCGGTGGCAGGGAGCCCAAGTTGTCGGCTGTGGCGTTGAAAGCTGCGGCGAGCGAACAGAAGGGTGCCTCGGGTGTGCTGGTGGTCTGTGAGTCGTTGCACATCAGGGAACCAACCCACGCCACCTCGCCTTATGGTCGTGTGGAAAACAAAGTAAAGGTCAGAGTCGGAGGCGAAGCACAAGAGCAGATGAGAGGTCGCTAACCGCACCTGAACTGGCGGCCGGCATCAGCCCCAGCAAAAGACAGCTACCAATACAGATGAGATAGAAGAAAGATGGGGCATAAACTCGGCAAGTGCTCTTCATGTCGGTACATATTGGAATGAGAGGCGGACCCGCACCCCAATGAAACACACAATAGCAATATGTGTGCGGTACACAGAAAGGAGATGCAATTCGTTTGCTTGGAACATACCCTGCATTCCGATTTTAAGCTCCGGCCCAATCACTCTCATCACCCACACACTCAGGAATGTTCACATGCGCCTCCCATGTTCAATCCACTAAATTGTTGGTGTATTCTTTGTCGTTGGGGCGAGAGGGGTCGGTCAGTAGACGTGGAGTTGGCCGTTGAAGAAGGTCTGGTTGAGCTTCTGCTTGTTCTCGGCCGTCGTCTGCGGTCCGAATTGCAGGTCCGTCAGGCGCAGCTTCACCGCCTGAGTGGTCGTGTGTGTTTGAATGAAGAAGGAGTTCGCTCAGTTAAACCAAAAAGTGCAAAAGAGAGAAGTGAAGAACGAAAGCGAATGAGAAAGAGAAAGAGAGAAGAGAGAAGGCACCTCCAGCTCCGTGAGTGCAGCATTGAAGAACATCGACAGGCGCCACTCGAACACAAACTCGTTCTCCGGCTCCGGTCCGCGCGCCCCTGTGTAGAGTGTGAACATGATGACCATCCAATCTAAAAATAAAAGAAGATCGCACGTACCGATGGACATCTCCCGTCGGGTGTGCGTGACGACGGCGCCGTTGGGTGCCAGGTGGACGTGCACCCGCCAGCCGTCCTTGGTGCGGACGTCCTTGGTGAGAATGCTCTTGGTGACCTTGTGCTTGATTTCGAAGGCCGTCGTCAGGATCACCCCCTGGTGGATCGCCTTCAAAATACTCTCCGTGCGCGGACCTATGTGTGCGATCAGACTCTCTCTCACTCTGTGTGTGTGTGTGTGTGTGTGTGTGTGTTGTGTGTTGTGTGTTGTGTGTGTTACCAACGCCGTTCTTGAGGATGGCCTGCATGATCATGCCCATGTCCATCGTCTCTGCGGTGCCGTTTTTCCTGTCGCACCGAAGTGAGAAGACTAACAAGGAGTGGTGGTGGTGGTGGTGGTACTTGTAGAAGTCGAACGAGTTCTTCACCTGCAGGGCCGTCTCCCTCGGCTCCAAGGCCTCGGCAATTCGGCACACCAGCGACGACAGCGTCTGCAGTGTGCACATAACAACAACGAGCGTGGCGGTGAGCGGATAGTTAAGAATGAGGAGGTTCCCAGAAGAGGTACACACCTCGAACAGATGCATGCGCGCAGAGCGGCCGTTGATTCCGTCGTCCTTGCCCGCTGTGTGTCGTGTCGTGTGCGTGCGGTGGTGCGTGTGCCACGTGTCGTGTGTTGTGTGTTGTGTGCGTCAGAGCAGATCACGCATAGAGAAGAGGCGGGACGCCTCCGGGGGGGAGCACGCACCTGTGGATGGCCGCGAGGGCAGGGAGCCCCCGACCTTCTGCACCATCTCCTCTCGTTCCTGCTTCCAATCGTTCAGGCATTTCTGGAATGCTGCGCTGTCTTCGCGCGAGTAGAAAGCGAACCCCACCGAACCCTCTGCCACACCGCACACACCGCACACACCGCACACAGCCAAATACGAGTCAACACCAAACGAGTGGCCATGGGTGGCTAGTATGGCGAGTCGGGCTCGGGTACCCTCCTCGGGGATGGCGAAGTAGCGCATCGAATCCTTGGTCGGTACCAGGATGGCCGCGTCTTGTTTTTCCACTATCATACATTCGGCATCCTGCCCAACGAGAATCGATCAGTCGTGTGCGTGTGCGGTGGTGTGTGCAGCGGTGTGTGCAGTGGTGCGTGTGTGCGTGTGGTGCGTGTGGTGCATGTGTGCGTGTGCCCATACCTGGTCGTAGAGGTAGAGCATGGCTGTGCCTCGGACAGAATTCAACACGAGCGAGACCAAGCCGTTGATTTCGGCTGGTGGCCACACCGAGGCCCTGTCATCCACCCACCTCAAACGATGAGCAACCGCATACCACACACGCACGCACGCACGCGCACTAGCAGAATGGACGTACAATCGCATCTTCTCGGCTTCGTTGGGCACGTTCATGCACACGGAGACATACCACGTGGTTGAGGCGTCGAAATAGATCTCTTCGATCTCGTCCTCACCCTCCGTGACGCCCCCTGTGTGTGTGTGTGTGTGTGTGTGTGTGTGTGTGTGTGTGTGTGTGTGTGTGTGTGTGTGGTGTGAGGATTCTGTTCCATTCCCTTGCGTTTCATCATCGCGCCATTGACTTGCCCGGGAAAATGAAAGGAAGGCCGCGATTGCGCACCGTAGACGCTGCTTCGCTTGCCCACCAACTCCTGTCGATCGCCGTAGACCGATCCGCCGCTCTTCCACTCGCTCGTTTCGCCCCTCTTCTTCTCCTGTGGTTTGGTTTGGTTTGTGACATGAGCCAGATCCACGCCGTGATGAGCAAGAAGAAGAAGAACGAAGAAAGAAGAAGGAAGAAGACGTGGTGTGGAGAAGGTCACCTCTTCGCTGGGCAGATCCCTGAAGTCTGTGCGCTTGATCTCGAGTGTTGTTCGGTCGCACAGACGGGGCAAGTCTGTTCCCACGATCAGCTGCGTGCGTGAGCGTGCGGTGTTGTGTTGCGTGTGCGGTGTTTTGCGTATGGTGTGCGCGTGTGGCCACACGCGCGGACAATAACGAAAGCGATGGTCGCGAAGAACGAAGAGGAGTGGAGAAGGGGCGTACCGCCGTGAACGGGAAGGCTAGAGATGGGCTTCTGCCACATCTTCGTCAGTTCCTCCTTCAGGTCCCAGTGCATCGACACCGGCCGCATCCCTGCTCGTTAATTGGCGATTTAATTTAAATTGAATTTCTTTCCGCAGAGAATCAATGAGGCAGGCAGCAGAGCTCATTTGCGGTTGAAGGGGGCGACGTACCTGTCTTGGCATCATGCATTTCAAAGGGATGGTCTTTGTCGCCTCGGATCTTGACCCGCACCTTTCGCAGCGTATTCCG